GAAGTACTAAAGATTTAAGATTTGGGCGTTAATAATTGAAGATCCTCTTGAAAAACAGTACTTTAGGTTTAGCTGGGAGCATTAAGTCCGGAGTTTTTTGTCGTTAAATTATTCGTTACAAGTTAATTTTAACGAGCGCAAACGACTTTGTTGTTGAATTTAATCAGAACAAAGTTTTAACACACGAACTTTTATCCATTATAATATTTTCAGTCTTTAAATTAGCGTTGAAAGCATTTTCTTGTAATATCGCGCTTATGCCGTGAATTTTACCCTTCGTTTTTAATAAAAAAAACTTAACTATATTTACCATTATCCGAGGCTAGAAACTTTTTGTATATTAATTATAAATATGCATATCAAATTACAATGTAATATCCGGTTTATTTGAGTTTAAACTAGGCATAGTCCATTAAAATAAATGTATAAATAATATTTTTAGAAATATGGTAGAATAATTTGTTGATACATAATCCGCATTTAATTATAGCCAGTGAAGCTTTTATGTGTTTTGGTAATAAATTCATGTTTTACATTCGGTGAAGATAGATATGCGAAAAATTAAACAATATTCATTAATGCGTTACTGGAAAAATTAATTTATTATTCTGTATTTAAATAGTTTACTTGGATTTCAGTAATGTAAGAAAAATAAACGGTTCTAATATAAGACAGCGTATTAAAGCTATAAAATTAATTTTAATGGAATATTAAATGCTAATTTGTATCCATTTTATAGCTGTAATTATTGGTTCTTGAAATTTAGTAGACACTCATGTAAACATTATAAAATTTGTAATCTATCTCATTTAACTTTTACACGTTTTCGTTAACATTAGTATTGGGAAACAGCACCTGTATAAAATCAAAATTGCAAATATGGTATGATATGGAGTTGCTAGAACGAAATTAGCGAACACTACTAACGATTCTAAAACTTCATTGTAATTTAATGGAGTTGGAAATAGCCTAAGCACGGTTGTTTTGGTCAACATTCTGGCAATAAACGATGTTAACGTCAATGCGCTATCAAAATTATTCTCTCATGTAACGAAGTTTACTGTTGTTACATGAAAACCAAAACCATAACCTCTAATATTTGTTGCGAAACGTACATTTAAAATTTATAATTACTGGCAAGTTACTAACTCAATACAACCACTTTTGCAGTTAACAGGTACTTTGCTATTTGTGTCGGTCTGTATCAACATTTAACACGAGCAGTTCTTAATTTATTATCACAGGTATATTTTTTTCGAAAATTTATTAAATGTTCCTGGATTAAATTACAGCCACTCCGTAACCCCTTTGGGTATACGCGTATTAATTCGTGACGAAATTGAGAGTTACCCCTTTAACCGCGTCGTTGGGGCATTATCCCATTACAAGCAGCGCCAGAAGATTTTAATGTGTTTTATCGAAACATAATTTTCACGAAATTGTTCATTGAATTTCGCATTTACGGGAATTTCACCTAATTGTTGGGTTGTATTTCGTGATGGGCGTGTATTATGTTTATTGGTGTGTATTGTGTGGGATATATCCGAACGTTTTCTACTGTAATCCCTTTTGGAAACTATCGGGAGTATTGGGGGTTTAAATTGGAAATTTTACTACCCGTGTGGAGTATAACTATACGGCCAAACAAACGTGCCTAGCATTGAAATTTGTAAATAAAATACCCGGTTCTTTTTGAGCAAAGAAAGTCGTCCATACACTAAATTATGTGTTGTGAACTACAAGCTTCACTGGGAGTGACCCAAAAAACTCACAGTAAAGGTATAGAGAAAATTAAATGGTTACTCAAACATTTTGAATATTTCAACACTATTCATAATTTCATATGCAACTGGGTATACAGATACGTCACTGGAGTATACACTTCACTATTGACCTACATTCGTTAAGTGCCACTAAAATTTTAAATATTCACGCAAACTCGCAGGGGGAATATCAATTTATTGTCTTCACGTGGAAAAGAAAAGAGGAAAAAAAATCGGGGAATTTTCATTTTTTTAAAAGGGCGGAAAAACATTTACGCCACGTGCTACGTTATTTATGCAGTTCTCTATCTTGATGTTTCTCTGCCATAAAAGATTCCAAGTTACTGCGGCCGCAATAAAAATAATCACTCGCCATCAAAATCAAAAAAAAAACTCGTAAAAATATCCGCCGCATAACCGATAAGTAGCGGTCGCGGTTTCTCTCCTTCCGTCGAATTTATCTCGTGACAAAGTGTACGGTCAGTTTCGTTTCGTCCTTTTTACCTCGGCTATATACGAAATTGCCATTATCCTTCCGTACCATCGGTTATATTGTGTATGAAATAAATGTTTGCAATCTCATACGGCCCGCGGGACGTCGGGATATTCCCCGAGAAACATTTTTTTACAGTCGTGCATGTACGATCTTATAAATCTCGTGATGTTAACGCGTACGATCTGCAGGTTATTCAGCTACATATGAAACGAATTTAGTGTACGTTTATAAGCGTTGAAGTTTCCTTTTCCGCTTCGAATGTATGTATAAAAAAGGCGCTGAATGAATGCTTTAATCATCGAAGCCTGAGGAAATCGCGAAATCAATTTTCTCAATTTTTCGTCGCTTTCAAAAGGGCAAATTTGCCGTTTCCATTCCAACAAGAAATTAAAATAAACGCTACACTACGATGTATGCATGAATTAACATTATTACATGAAATTGGCTACATTGAAGGAAGCGTAAAGTTGATAATTAATAAAAAATAATTTCAAGCGATTGATAATAAATACTCTTACAAATTTTTTGCCTCTAACGATATTTGAGCGCCATGAATAATAAATTCTATTGAAAACGCGTGTTCAACAGTGAATTATTAAAGAAGAACAATAAGTGATTAGTGGAGCTTTTATTAGACCATTAATAATTAACTCGTCCCGACGGAGAATAACTGTTTAAGTGATTAATGAACGTTTTAGGACCGCATCCGCGTATGAATAAATTTACGTAGATAGAGCATTTATACCCTAGCATGCATGTATTTGTATGTGCATTAAGTGTATTAGTGCAATTCAAACGTGTAACCATTTACAAAGCGTAAATCATGTAAATTTCGAGATTAGAGGGGAATTTATTGAGGCGTTTTTTATTAACCGTTTATGAATCGAGTCTTGAGCTATATTCTTCGCCGGTTTTTGTTGTTCGGGCGTTACTTTTACTTTTATTTTGTCGAAGAAAATGGATGCACCTTTCATACGAAACAGAGCTCTTCTATTTATTGGTTTTTTGAAAGCTTTCGAAATAAAGTGAAATCAACATTAATGGTCCATTAGCGTGGTAAACATCCCTCGGAAGCTTCAACACGTTTCCCACTTACTGTAGGTTTTCCGCGCGTCGCTTTTCAATTTATATAACGCGCGAAAAACGTCCCGTTTGATCGATAATATTAATTTTTTTTAGCGAAATTTGCGATATCAACGCATCCCTTAAGGTCGATTTTCATCACCATTAATTCTCGGTCGGGCTAGTTTACAGATTAATTTCTATTCAAAATTGAATTATCGTTGATATAAATTAATTCGTCCCTATCTGTGTAGCCCAACAACATCTTCGTTAAGGGCTAAGTAAACAGATCAGCTTTGCGATAAATTTGTCATTAAGTTAAATTGGAAACTATTCCTTCTGGAGAGGTTTAATTAATTTAAAGGGAATGTGATGTATGCTAATAAACTGGATCCTAAAAATCTATGTATGTGTTCCCAATTAATTTATTAAAATATTCACTAAAATATCAACAAAACAGCTTTTAATATTAATTAGATATCTAGTCAATTTAGTTAATTAATTTGGTATGTATAAATTGATGAATTTATATAAATCTTAAATTTATTCTGCACTATTCCACATTACATCGATTCCAGACATTTTAATTAAACTTTACAAACACTAATGGAACGTACATAACGATTTATTTCGAGTTTGATTAAACGAAAATAATAGGTGAGAGAAACTACTGCACCTGATGTGTTGAAGAAACGAATTCAGTTGATTTAGTTTTAACTGACGGAGTGAATTCCATTTACAATGAAAATAAAAACGTTCTATTAAAAATATATAGAGGTGTATAAAAAAATAAGGGTTTGTAGGTAGTAATAGTTTATTTGAAGCATCTGTAATTAGTATTACGTAATTATCAAGAAAATGATTGATTTGAGATGAATGTTGAAAAAATAATATTGATTAATGATAAAGGAGGATAAATGTGAAAAAAATTTAATGCTTTTAAAGATAAATCATTCACGTGACAGGTTATAAACACTGTATTCTCGGAGGCTAATGTAAAAGTGATGATATATTTTAATTTTTAAATAAATCTCTTTTAATTATGAGCTAGAAAAATGTGTTGATAAATTGCCACATTTTTCTGTTGTTGTTTAAATTAAACGAAAATTTCAATAAGCGCGAATACAAAATACCTACTTATTTTTTAATCGAAACGATTCGTCTGGGGACAGAGGAGTTTTGTGAAGATGATTTTAATTTAGCGGATTAAACACGAAGGCCCATAAAGGCTCCTCTGGGCAACAAAATCCGGGCCCTTTGACGCACACAAATGAAACCTCTGCGGTTCCGTTCGTAATGCAACGTTTGTTTTCGCAATTTAAATATCGAACCGGAAAAATTGTTCATGAATTTCTTGTTTAGTTTTCGACAATCGCCACACTATTCCGATATTCCGGCGTTTGTTCTTTGTTCTTGGCGGTTCGCAAATGGAAACTGGTATTTCGAACTTTAATTTGCGCTCGAAAAGCTCCACAATTTCCTACTCGTACAAAGGAATTATGCATGTCACGAGCAGAAAATGCATCAATAAATCAATTTGCATGGTATAAGGGAAGCTGGTTTACATGCTAATTACTCGGGAATTAATTCTTTCATCACAAAAAAATGCAATCTCGACAATACTATCGCAAATCGTAAATCCGAGTTCGAAATATAATTTTGTGTTATTTTTGTTTCAGATAACCGCATCACAATGCTTCTAACTAACCCCGAATACAAATCAGTATATTTCAACAAACCCAGTAGCAATGTGACGAAGAACCGCTTTTAAATCCATCAAAAAAAATGACCACAAACAACACAATGGAGGCCTCACAAGACCCTAACCCCAACATCTCGTTATTAAACGTGATTAACATCACCTTAGAAATGCCGATAACGTACGCCCTGCCGCTGTACGGGTACGTGATGCCCTTCATGCTGCTGATAACGATGATAGCGAACACGCTGATAGTGGTGGTGCTGAGCAAAAGGCACATGAGGACCCCCACGAACGTGGTGCTCATGGCGATGGCGCTCTGCGACATGTTCACGCTGCTGGTGCCGGCCCCTTGGCTGATCTACATGTACACGCTGGGCAATCACTACAAGCCCCTGTGGCCCACCAGCCTTTGCTACGCCTGGAATTTGATGCACGAGGTAGGCAGGTATTATTCGGGTTGCGCGGAATGTCCGCGACGGGCTCGAGTAATGCTGAGGCCACACCAAGCGCGATGTTCGCTACGTTCGCTACGTTCGCTACGTCCATTAAAAATATTCCCCATTATTATAAACGGACGTGGCCACATAGATGTATGACGCTACGTTCGCTACGTTCGCTACGTTAGGGACGTCGCCAACCTGTTTGATTGTCGGCTATATTTTGAAAACGTCCGTAGCGAACGTAGCGAACATAGCGTAGCGCTTGGTGTGGCCTCAGCATAACTCGCTCGCGATATTGTAATGGAGTTTTCGGTTGGATATTAAAAAACTTTCGGGCGGGAGTTGGCGGATTTTTCGAATTAATTTTCACAATAGCGGACATTTCGCGTGGATTCTGGACAGAAAATGCACCATTGTATTTGCTTTCCATAATACTAAATATAGCAAGTTGTGACTAGTTGTCTCAACGAAATAATAGAGTTTTGATTCGCTCCTCTACATCGAAAAACCTCTATATTCCTTATAAAATAACGACTCAGACAACCGTAAAATTCGTTTTCGGCAATAAAGATATGATGGGAGCATATAAAATAAATTCATAAGGGACAAATGATTTTTGTCCCAAATCCCTGTATAAAAAACCTCGGGACTATCGGGTAAAAAGGCTAGGGCGTTTAAGAGAGAATTTTATTAAACTGGCTTCACAATAAAATTTATAGAGTTCTGATCATCATCGATAATGCAATAAAGTTTCCTCAACTAAGTTAATTACGGAAATTCACGTATAAGCAGTTGGTATAAAATAAGGTGATCTGTAAGCCAGTTCAATTTCAAGGTGCAATCTAAGTTTAAGTTTGCGAATAGTCGTCGAAACAAAGATTTATTACTCCGGCATCTTCTTTGTAATGAATTTTACATGCAGTTCGAAACTTTATGAATTTATTTCAGCTGGTGTTATGGTAATCCCGTTTCGTGGGATTTTTGAATTATTTTTTCGCGCCTGCGGGTGCTTTTGGTTTTTGCGGAAACAAATTTTAATTACGTTTGTAAATATTTTCTTTCTTTTTGAAGTTTATATTAATAATAATTTTCGAAATCGTAATTAGAGGGTTTTCGCTTTAATAAAGAATTCATCCTGTTTGGATTAACTTTCCATTTTAAAGTTTATTGTCAATTAAGGTCAGAAAGTTTTATTTTATTGACGCTTGGAGGTTATAATTAAATTAACATTTTATCTCTTCTATATAACAGCTGGGGGTTTTATCTATTTACTGCCCCAATAAAGAATGATTGTCTCTTAAATAATAGCACTTAGGGCTATTTGATATAAAGCAGTAGCAAAATATTAAACCAATTATTGAAGTTTTCTCCTTGGGCCTTTTACTTTTTACTTTATGAAATTGATGTACTTAACGAAATAGACTGTGTTTTTGACATATAAAAGAATGTTTTTTTGTGTTTACCTTCAAACATTGTAACATTAGTAGAACTTTGGTAAATAAAAATATGTTATATGAAAGAAAAAAAATCTAAAAGTGTATCTACAATATTTATTTATCGCATTGTTTGGTTTAGTATACAGAATTTAATTTAGAACTTCTTAAAATACTTATTATACCTATAGAATCTTTCGGAATGCTCAAATATGGGGTAGTGAAAAAATGGTTTTGGTGTATAAAGATTACCTTAGAACGAAAAATAACTGGAGTCGACCTTTCGAAAGGTTCTTTGACATTAAAATTAATCGAAAATAACAACTCAACCGTATTAGAACATTTAACCAGAAATGTTTCCATAAAAAAAATTACGTCGATTTATTCAGGCCGAAAAAGGCGCATATAAACGTTAAAGATCGTAAAAAAATACGAATCCAATTATCGTCTACAAAAAGAGAATATCTTTATTTTTTTTTTTTCGAATTTATCACGCAAGAAAATTCTCATCTTGCATGTCGAATTCGCTAATTTCGAGCACGTTTCCGGAAATTACACTACATAAAAACCCTCCCACGAAATGCCGCTTTTATAACTCGTATAATTATTGTTTAAATGATTTTTTTTTTCGTAATGAGCTAGTAAAAATATTCACGAACCTCAAGTTATAGCGTTATTAAACCTTCACATGTATTTCACCTGATAAAATAGTCCGGTGTGATAGTCCAGAGATATGGGCTGCATGCGGTGAACGTAAAAGGCCGCAAAAAGGGTGGAAAATCTTCGGGGGATTTCAAGCGATCTCTTTTATGGTTTTAGATAATCCCTTGCGTATTCCATACTTCAAGTATCTGGCTAACGTTGGGACTGGCTATTCAAAGGTACATCTACGTCTGTCACGCCCCGCTGGCGAGGAAATTCTGCACGTTGCCGAACGTGTACAAGAGCATATCCGGTGTACTTTTCATGGCCGCTCTACATCAAGTGCTCAGATTATTCGATACGGAATACGCCACAGTGAGTATACATACCCCCTTAGTAGGTACAATGAAATGAAAATTTGCTCTTCCCCGTTTATCTTACGGACGAATCTAATTTATAGCGCGTTTACTTTAACGTAGCTCCGACGTTTTCGCGTATGGTTTATTTGTTTTTTTCTAGTCGTGACGTCAATGTTGGATTAACATGATCGTGGTTTATAGCAGTAAAATCGGGGAGTTCTTGGATGTGTTCCATCGTCTTTTGGTGTCGAGCACGTTGGAGACTCATATCAAAAGATTAGAATATAAATTGAGGGCTCGTTTGCTTTTTAAGATCGCTACCTGACCTAATTTCTCATCTTTTTTTCATTATTCATGCTGCCCCCACAACGGGTTGAATTTCATTCGAGTCATTTTTGCGTTCAAACCAAAGCGTCTTAATTCAAAAAATTAAGATTATATTTTTAAGTTAATTATCTGGAAACTGTATTTTAGTAAATATCAATTTCGAAATTAAACACACCGCCGCCCCAATTAGAAGGATAAGTCGAAACGACTAGTCCGAATTAGCTAGAGTAAATCGGCTTAATCTACAGTTTACTGAAGCATTAAACTCAAAAGGAAAATTTCTCATCTCCATATTAATTAAAGACTTTTGTTTGAGAGCGTTCCTCTCCGAAGGCGCGCCAGCCATTTTCGCGATTTAATTCGTTGTAAGTGTTTTGTTCCTGCGTTTGGGGGATTTGCATGGGAATTCGGGGATTCCTCATTAACGTACTACGTATTTTTCTCGGTAATTTCCTATTTGTTTCGCAGATAACCGCCCGCTCGAGCGCCGTCGCAATTGATTTAGCAGAAAGCGAATCGGTCGGTTTGTTTTTGTCGGAAAAATTATTTTTTCCGCCGGAAAAATGACGGGCTAAAAGCCGCGTGAAAGCCGAAATGGAAGGAACGTGAATATTTTAGATGTTCGAAAGGGAATAAGATGCCTCATTGTAACATTTACTTTTTTCTTGTCTATTGCGAAACATAGCGTAAAATATTTATGTGACAGACGTGTATGTTCAAAAAACGATAAATAATTACGTTGATGTTAAGTTTCATTTTACTGTTTGTTTTTGGATTAATATTTTCAGTCAGTTTGGTTGGGTATACACCGATTGAATGTAGGTTGACTAGTCATATCCAATTAATGTCAAAAATGGTAATGACAGTTCAATTATTGAAGTTTAGTTAAAGGTGGGAACAAGTGGTCAAGTATATAGAGATGCCGTAACATATGTTCCAATTTAACAGTTATTTCATTCATTCCTTATTTCCACGACACAATCATCTTTTTCAGTGCATTATAGATTTATTTGTGTACAGCATATTAAATGGCAATCTGCTGAACGAGATTTTTTCCACCAGCGCTTGAAATCGGCAAATTTTTAATTCTAATTGCACACACGCATCCGCAGAAACGCGAAAATTCCCATAATGACAGCTCATTAAAACGGCGCTAACAACTCGGCGAAATACAAAACTTTATCGCCCGTGAAATATCCACCGCTCGAAAAATTCCGTCCGGTAACTTTCAACTTTTCGGGTCGGAAAACCGGAAACATAAATAACCCAAAATGCGTTTATTTCGCGCGAAACTACGCGAAATAAAGCCGGTTGTCAAAAGGCGCGTGAAATTCTATTTAATACGGATGGTAAATAAGCGATAAATCAACGAAAGAACGGCGCTTTTTTTGGGGATTCCCCCATCGTTCGCACTTCCTTTGCATTTTCAAACAATACTACACCTACTCATGAATGTCGCAGATTCGATTTAATTTGTTTTGTCTAGATCGACATCTTGTGGAACAACACGACGACTTCTGTATGCATCAGAAGACGAGCAGAATGGATAAACGAATACATCAATGAAGACGGTTATTTCATAACATATTTCCTATTCCGCATACTCTTCGTGCATCTGCTCCCTTGCGTGTCGCTGGTCATCCTGAATCTCCTCCTCTTCAGAGCCCTTCGGCAGGCGCAGCAACGCCGAGACATACTCCTCTCTTCCAAGAAGAACCAGAAGAACGAATGTAAAAAATTGCGCGACTCGAATTGCACCACGCTGATGCTCATCGTGGTAGTAACGGTCTTTCTGATCGTCGAAATACCCTTGGTCGTCGTCACCATTTTGCATATCATTTCCAGCACGTTCGGGGAATTTTTGAACTACGACATGGCCAACACGCTGATATTGTTCACCAACTTCTTCATCATCTTGAGCTACCCCATCAATTTCGCCATCTATTGCGGCATGTCGAGGCAGTTCAGGGAAACGTTCAAGGATTTGTTCGTGAAGCAGGTGCCGAACGCCAGGAACGGCTCGTCGAGGTACTCGATTGTAAACGGGCCGAGAACGTGCACCAACGAAACCGTGCTGTAGGGTAAACTTAGGGAAAAATCAATCGAATAATTGAATGACGCTTATACCATAGACTTGATGTTATCGAATTTGTATTAAAATACATCGGTGTAAAATGTGTCTAGAAATCGCTTCGAATCAATTAGCTGCGTCAATTACTTTCAAAACAACTGAGCCCTAATTTGAAAGTAGCTGACGAGAACATTTTGCAAAGTAGGTACATCTACGAACCTTTCTACGGGGAAATTGTACATTTTTTGTATTACGTGTACCAAATAATTCAATTCATGTACTTAAATGGTTAAATAAATATTTTATTCGATTTGTTGTCGACATGTTGCTTTTATTTTATTACCAACTCTATTATTATTACATAATACACAACTTCGATTTACTTTTTCAAATTTCATGTAATTGAATAACACAGTTAGTAAAGACCACTCATCTTTTAATCTATAAATGACAACTTTGACTTATGTCACCGACGTCAACGTCAACGTTACGTCAATTTTATTTAAACTAACCTAAAAATAAGTACACAAAAATAGATTAAGCCGCATTTAAACGAAATGATCCTTTCAGATTCGATTTTATTCAGTTTATCGATGCTGGACACCGGCGCCTTGCTGTTTCTACTAATATACTTCGTATCCTTTACAAAAAAACGCAGATTTGTAGCGAATTACGCTCGGTTCGATTGGTCCTTAACCGCATAATTAGCTAATCACTTTGTCCGACTTGGAGTGCGACTACATGAACGCACAGGAGTGCTGTTCGAGATTAAATCAATGGACGATGCCGAAATTAGTCGCCCACGTATTCGTCAGCACGATTCTTTCGATGCACGGCCACTTCGTGCTGGTGTTTCTGAACCTCCCGATGACTATGTGGTTGATTTACGAGATACTGACCATACCGAAGGGGAACTTGGGGCTGTACGATCCCACGGAAATACACAACAGAGGCCAGATTAAAAAGCACATGAGAGACTGCATGATTTACCTGGGGTATTATTTGATATTTTTCTTTATTTATTTATATTGGTGAGTTTGTATTTTGTGGTATTAGCATTAGAATGGCGATTGTATTTGTTGTTTTAGTATGATTACTTCGTTGCTGAAAGACGATCCGTTACGAAGGAAAGACGATGAGGAAATAATTTATGAGTTTTAATATGTGGTATCTTACGTACATGGGAAACAATTCAATGTGATATTTTGAGAATTTTTACCATAATGGTCGTATTAATCTAAGTTTGAGCAACAGGTCTGATATTATTTACTCGTGGAAGTGAAAATGTGTGTATCAATTATACGAAATCATATTTATGCAACAAAATATGATCATATGCATGAAGGTAATAAAATATTAATTTATAATATTCACTAATTCGTTTGATTTTCTTCGATGTAGTACAGTCCAAGTTTATGTCATATTTCAAAAACCATAACTATTGCGAACAAATGGCTAATGTCATTCTATCGATAATGAAATTGCTTGCAACTTTTGTATTCAACATTTTCTCTTATAACAAATAGTTACGGAGATACAACCGATTTAAAAATTTGACAACAGTTTTTTTTAATCTCATTTGACAGGTGTCATATTTTGCCAGTTTATCGATTAACTAAAAATTGGAATGAAGTCCTGATAAATCCGGCAACGTCGCGAAACGTATTCTGCAATTAGAGAGGTCGTTTAATACCGAGCAAGCGCAGTGAGTACTCGAAGTTAGCTGTCATGAAGGGCGTTTGCGTTCCCGAACTAAATAACAATTAAAGCAATAGTATTGTCGAAAATACACCGGTTTAATTAATAAGTGCTACCGTTCGTGATTAGTGCAATATCGACGACAAGGTGAGTGGTCATCGACGATTTGATTAACTCATATTATTGGTAAGAAAAGCCTTCTAGTGACCTGAATATGGCTGACTAGGTGTAACCACTGTAGTGTAGTGGGTATGGGAATTTTGCGGTTTAATTAGGGTATGTTTTGGTTTAGTGGGCGTTTACTGTGTTGTTTGTTTCGAGATTGTTTCCTTCCGTATAAATTTCGGAGGAATTTGAATTAGGTGTAGCGCGGATGTCGAAAACAAGCTTATAGGGTCATCAGGTGCTACAAATGACAGTTTGTACTTTTTTAAAGCCTAATGTCAGTGAACTTTTATGTAGGGTATTATATTTAGTGTAAATAATGATTTCTATAATGCATTTAAAGGTGTGGTAACTCGCAAGTGTTAGTTTCACGATTATTTTGTTAATATTATAAAATAAAATCGCTTCTCGTAGGCCGATTATTGATTTCTTGCCATTGGGATAAAAATAGACCTTGAGGAATTTGGTAATACAAATTATCTAATTCGTGCTGTAATATTATTATTTAAAGGTCGAAATTAATGAGATAAAAAAATGTTTACTCGTATGTAACTCTTATTTGTGTTTAATTATAACTGTGATGCTTTTATAGTATGAATCATCATTTTTTATAGTTACTGACCTCGAAAATTTAAGTTATGCCTTACATTAGGTGAAAATTATGAATAAAACATCGAAATTTTGTATTCCCAACGATATCGAAAGTGAATTATACAAAATTTCCCTTTACATAAATTAATAGAATGTTTGATTTAGATAATAGAACTTAATTAGTGCTATCTTATCTCGCAAGTACAATAACGATTTTACGTGATTTATATGTAGCTTTCGTATTTTTCTACTGTTTATCGAGCAGTTGCGAAAATTGGGTACAGTCCTGTAAATTGATATGAATTTCTATTATTGAAATGCATACAATTTGCTCAAATACCTAACTACTTGCAATATGAGAATTAGGAGAATCCAAAAACACTTAAAAATTTAAGGAATTTATTCAACAACAAAATACCCTCTATAACAATCAAGAGAAGGCTAGACAACGCCTAGTATTGAACAAAACATATCCAAACTGAGAAATCTTGGCAATCCTTTTAGGTAACATTTGCATATTTCTAGTTAAAAAGAGAACTCGAATACATTATCGTGAGTAAATATTCGCACAGATTCGTCCTTGTACAATACACCGTAAAAATACAGCACCGAATGATGTAATACCTAATCGACGTTTTCGCTCATCCAAAGTGACTAATTACGTTCGTAAATTGGATTTAATTGAGTACCCACTTACGCCTTTATGCGATATATTCGAGTAACCGCTTGAACCCGTTCGGATGTAGGCTTTTAAAAACGCACATGTTGCGTGGATATTTCCTGTAGATGCTAAATTCGTGTAGAATCTCCCACGAACAGATTGGGAGCGAGCGTAAATAGCAACCTGCAGGAGCCCGTAGCGCTAATTCTCCACTAATTCAAAGGGTTTTTATTACGCGTGCCGGCTGTACGGTGGTATTTGGCATTTTTCTGATCAATTTCCGCATGATGGTAGTTGAAAAAAATCGCCGAAATATCGGCACGTTACCGCAACGTCTTTGGCAAGAGGTAGGTCAGGCGTCGGAACGTCGGGCAGCTGGTTGTATCGATCGGAAAATCGCGCTAGGTTCGCTCCAGAACGTCGTAATCCGCGTTTCCCTCGTGCCCTGGAAGTTCACGAGCACCAGTTTCGTGTCGGCTTTTCGCACGGAACTCTCCAAATTGTAATAATCTATTTATCTACAGCAATTTCGCTTATTTCGATCTCAAAAATATCACTTGTAGTATTTTTTATCGTTACAAAATTGGTATTTATTCACTAGATAACCAGCTCGGCTGGTTCCTGAAGGAGAAATGACCACCGACATCAGCATAGTAAGGTGGGATCCCACCTTGCAACAGGAAATTGTAGAAGATTACGAATACGATGGAGGAAACTCGTCTTCCAGGCTTTTCGAAAGATCCAGAATCAAAGCTTTGGCCGGTAAGTGACACTGCCAAATATTTCCAAAATTAAAACGTTTAAATGTGTTTCATTCATAAAATATTACGCGGCGCATCGATCATAGTATCCGATGCAACTCGAGCGTTTAAATCGAGTAAGAGAGCAAATGCAGGTGGAGTGCAACTATAAATACCTATTGTTTATTTAGAGTAGTTCATTCCAGACGTACGTTAACCTTACTCGATTGGGTAATGTCGAGTAAGTTCAAGGCAAAAAATATTATACAATTGAAGATATCGATTCATTCTTAAACGATCTAGTTTTGTTTAATATTGAATAATTGATGAGGCGTATGAATTTCACGGAGTAAACTCGTTAAACGTTAATTTGTAACCGGTTATTTCGGAACTGTTATAATTAAAAGCATATAATTTTTCTTTTCTAATTAATAACGCATCGTTTTACCTAGAGATTGATAAATAATTTAAATTAAATTCCTTTATTAGCTCATTTATGATATTATATAAATTTATCACTAGCCGTTATCGTAACCACGTTTCCTGCGTTGACCGTTTTTTTTTTCGTTTCTAACGAAGGTTTAGGTGTAGTTTAGTGGCAAAAATGTCGAACGATGGAATATGTGTCCATTTCGATAAGTTCGTTAACGATTTAAGAGGTAATTATAATATTTTTAAACCCGCCATTCTATACTAATTAATTTATAATGAGTTTACTTTGTTGGACACAAGTTTTATGTTTATTTAATTACCCAAATATTCAGTTAACTGTATTAATGGTCTGTTTGCGAGTTTGAGTCGATGTAATTGATTTATATAAACAGATTTTGTTTACATAATTTTCGATATTCTCTATAATGCTTTATTACATACATATGTTACACAATTAGTCCATTTTACGAAGTGTATGAATAGAATATCGAAATTTTAATTCGATTTGCAGACGAACGAGAAAGCGTCCAAAAGAAAACCTTCCAAAAATGGGTGAACTCCCATCTAGTCCGGGTGAACGCCCGAATATCGGACCTTTACATCGACATGAGAGACGGCAAAAATCTGATAAAACTCCTGGAGGTCCTCTCCGGCGAGCGTTTGCCGCGCCCCACCAAAGGCAAAATGCGCATCCACTGCCTGGAGAACGTCGACAAAGCCTTGCAGTTCCTCAAAGAGCAACGCGTCCACCTCGAAAACATGGGTTCGCACGACATAGTCGACGGTAATCCGAGATTGTCGCTCGGTCTCATCTGGACCATCATCCTCAGGTTCCAAATACAAGACATCACGATCGAAGAAACCGATAACCAGGAAACGAAATCGGCCAAAGACGCGCTGTTGCTTTGGTGCCAGATGAAGACGGCCGGCTATCACAACGTAAACGTCAGGAATTTCACGACGTCGTGGCGAGACGGGCTGGCTTTCAACGCTTTAATCCACAAACATCGTCCCGATTTGATACATTTCGATAAACTGTCCAAATCCAATCCCATCCACAATTTGAACAACGCTTTCAACGTCGCCGAAGACAAATTAGGCTTAACTAAGTTATTGGACGCCGAAGATGTGTTCGTAGAACAGCCGGACGAGAAATCCATCATCACCTACGTAGTGACCTACTACCATTACTTCAGCAAAATGAAACAGGAAACCGTACAGGGCAAACGTATCGGCAAAGTCGTGGGAATAGCCATGGAAAACGAGCGCATGATCAAGGAATACGAGTCGCTCACCAGCGATTTGTTGGCTTGGATCGAAGCCACTATAGTGGCTTTGGGCGACAGGAATTTCGCCAACAGTTTAGCAGGCGTTCAAGCTCAATTAGGTCAATTCAACAACTACCGAATCGTCGAGAAACCGCCGAAGTTCGTCGAAAAAGGCAACTTGGAAATCCTCCTGTTCACGTTGCAATCCAAAATGAGAGCCAACAATCAACGACCGTACACGCCGAAGGAAGGCAAGATGATATCCGACATCAATCGAGCTTGGGAGAGATTGGAGAAGTCCGAGCACGAGCGCGAATTGGCGCTGCGTGAGGAGTTGATCCGACAGGAAAAATTGGAGCAACTGGCGGCGCGATTCAACAGGAAGGCCAGCATGAGAGAGACGTGGCTGAGCGAAAACCAAAGATTAGTCTCGCAGGACAACTTCGGACAAGATCTCGCAGCCGTAGAAGCCGCGGCTAAGAAACACGAAGCCATCGAAACCGACATATTCGCCTACGAAGAACGCGTACAAGCCGTCGTATCCGTAGCGGGAGAACTCGAAGCCGAAAACTACCACGACATGGAGCGCATCAACGCCCGCAAGGAGAACGTACTGAGACTATGGAATTACTTACTGGAATTGCTTAAAGCCCGTAGAAACCGTTTAGACATCTCGCTGCAATTGCAACAGAACTTCCAGGAGATGATGCACATCCTGGACGCCATGGAGGAATTGAGGCAACGCCTGCTCACCGACGACTACGGCAAGCATCTCATGGGCGTGGAGGATCTCCTGCAGAAGCACAATTTACTCGAGGCCGACATCAACATACTCGGCGATCGGGTGAAAGCCGTCGCCAATCAATCGCAGAGATTCGTCGACGTCGACAACGACGAGGGCTACAAACCCTGCGATCCCGGTTTGGTGTTGGAGCGTGTCCAGCAGTTGGAGAACGCCTACGCGCAACTCGTCCGATTGGCCGTTGACCGACGGACCAGATTGGAGGAGAGCAAGAAACTGTGGCAATTCTACTGGGACATGGCCGACGAGGACAATTGGATAAAGGAAAAAGAACAAATAGTGTCCACCAGCGACATCGGACACGATCTCACCACCGTGAATTTGTTGCTGAGCAAACACAAGATATTAGAAAACGAATTGGCGGCGCACGAATCGCAGCTCGAGGCCGCCCTCGGCGTGGGCGAAGAGCTCATCAACGGCGGCCATTTCGGCGCCGAGAAGATCCAGGAGAGATTGAACGAAATCCGCGACGCTTGGAAGCATCTGCTCGACTTGGCGGCTTATCGCAGAAAACGATTGGAGGAAGCCGTGGATTACCACCAACTGTTCGCCGACGCCGACGACGTCGATATTTGGATGTTGGACACTCTTCGATTGGTATCCAGCGAAGATGTCGGCCAGAACGAGGGCAACGCACAATCGTTACTCAAGAAACACAAAGACGTCACCGAAGAATTGAAGAACTACGTCAGCGTTATCGATTCCCTTCACCAGCAAGCCGAAGCCTTGGGCCCCGAGGTGGCCAATTCGAAGGAGGTGTCGCAGCGATTGGCTTCGATCGATAATCGCTACAAGGAATTATTGGAATTGGCCAAACTCAGGAAGCAACGTCTGCTAGACGCTCTGTCCCTCTACAAATTACTATCGGAAAGCGACGGCGTCGAGCAATGGATAAACGAAAAAGACAGAATGCTCCAAACGATGATCCCCGCCAGGGACATCGAGGACGTCGAGATAATGAAGCACCGTTACGACGGTTTCGAAAAGGAAATGAACGCCAACGCTTCGCGCGTGGCCGTCGTGAACCAATTGGCCCGTCAGCTGCTCCACGTGGAGCATCCGAATTCCGAAGAAATCACTGCCAGACAAAACCACCTCAATCAGAAGTGGGCGGAATTGCGCGAAAAGGCCGAAGCCAAGAAAGAGGAATTGAATTCAGCTCACGGTTTGCAAACGTTCCATATTGAATGTCGCGAAACCACCACTTGGATCGAAGATAAAATCAGGATCCTCCAAACCACCGATAGCCTAGAGATGGATCTGACCGGTATCATGACGTTGCAACGTCGTTTGTCCGGCATGGAGAGAGACTTGGCCGCCATCCAAGCCAAACTCACCGCTCTGCAGAAGGAAGCCGATTCCATAGAAGGCGAGCACCCTGAAGAAGCGGCCGTCATACGAGAACGCATCACCCAAATACAAATCATCTGGGAGAGGTTGACGCAAATGTTGAAAGAAAGAGACTCCAAGCTCGAGGAGGCCGGCGATTTGCACCGGTTCCTGCGCGACCTGGACCACTTCCAGGCTTGGTTGAGCAAAACGCAAACGGACATCGCTTCCGAAGACACGCCCGGCTCGCTCTCCGAAGCCGAGAAGCTCCTCTCCCAGCACCAAGCCATCAGAGAGGAAATCGACAATTACACGCCCGACTACACCAAAATGATGGAGTACGGCGAACGCATCACCGCCGAACCGAGCACTCAAGACGATCCGCAGTACATGTTCCTGAGGGAGAGGCTGAAGGCTTTGAAAGACGGTTGGGACGAGATACACCAAATGTGGGAGAACCGCCAGCAATTGCTGTCCCAATCGCTCAGCCTGCAACTGTTGGACAGGGACGCGAGACAATCGGAGGTTATACTCAACCAACAAGAGCACACGTTGGGCAAGGACGAGAGCCCCACCACGTTGGAGCAGGCCGAGAACTCGTTGAAGCGACACGAAGCCTTCCTCGCCACCATGGAAGCCAACGACGACAAAATCAACGGAGTCATCGAGTTTTCGAGACGATTGGCCGACGAAGGTCATTTCGCCACCGACAAAATCGCCAAGCGCGCCGACAACATCGAAGAACGCCGACTGGCCAACAGGGAGAAGGCCCAAGCGCTTCTCGAAAGGCTGAGGGACCAACTGGAGCTCCACCAGTTCCTCAGAGACTGCGACGAATTGGGCGAATGGATCCAGGAGAAGCACATCACGGCCCAGGACGAAACGTACCGATCCGCCAAGACCGTGCACTCGAAATGGACGAGACACCAAGCGTTCGAGGCCGAGATAGCGGCGAACAAGGAGCGCCTGCACAGCCTGCAAAAGGCCGCCGAGGAATTGGCCAAAGAGAAGCCGGAATACGCCAGTCACATTCAACCGAAGATCGAGGACATGATCGATCAATTCGACGTGCTCGAGCAAACCACCAAAGAAAAGGGCGAGCGATTGTTCGACGCCAACCGAGAGGTGCTCATCCATCAGACCTGCGACGACATCGATTCGTGGATGAGCGAATTGGAGAAGCAAATCGAAAGCGACGACACCGGCTCCGATTTGGCCTCCGTCAACATTCTGATGCAGAAACAACAGATGATCGAAACCCAAATGGCGGTGAAAGCCCACCAAGTGGGCGAATTGGAGAAGCAAACGCGCCATTTGGAAACGGCCGCTCCCGAAAAGGACCTCGACGAGATCAAGCACAAAAAGACGAAGGTCGAACAGCGCTTCGAGAAGCTGAAGAAACCTTTACTCGACCGACAGGTTGTATTGGAGAAGAAAAAGGAAGCGTTGCAATTCAGGCGAGACGTCGAAGACGAATTGCTGTGGATAGCCGAGAAGATGCCGCAAGCTTTGTCCACCGAATACGGCAACACCCTCTTCCAAGTGCACATGTTGGAGAAAAAGAACCAATCCTTGCAAACCGAAGTCGACAATCACGAACCCAGGATCAATACAGTTTGTAACAACGGCCAGAAACTCATCGATGAAGGTAGGTTGAAAGTACTTCGTGCGCTGTTCTGAATTAATTTTTGTATATTTCTGCAGGTCACGAGGATTCCGGCGAGTTCGGCAGGCTCATCAGCGAGCTGCACAAGGCCTGGCAGGAGCTGAACGACGCCATCGACAAGCGGCGCGAGAACCTGTTGCGCACCGAGCGCGCCCAGCAGTACCTGTTCGACGCCAACGAGGCCGAGAGCTGGATGAGCGAGCAGGAGTTGTACATGATGGTCGAAGATCGCGGCAAGGACGAAACGTCGGCGCGCAATTGCATGAAGAAACACGAAAATCTCGAAGCGGCCGTCGAAGATTACGCCGATACGATTCGAACGTTGGGCGAGACCGTCCGATCGCTCGCCGCCGAGGCCCATCCGCTGGCCGAGCAAGTGGCCGTCAAGCAATCGCAATTGGACAAATTGTACGCCGGTTTGAAGGACCTCGCGCAGGAGAGACGCGCCAAATTGGACGAGGCGCTGCAACTGTTCCTGCTCAACAGGGACGTGCAGGACTTGGAGCAGTGGATAGCCGACAGGGAGGTGGTCGCTTCGTCGCAGGAACTCGGCCAGGACTACGATCACGTCACGTTGTTGTGCGACAGATTCCAGGAGTTCGCCCGCGACACCGAAGCCATCGGCAGCGAGCGCGTCAACGGGGTTAACGACACCGCCGATCAGCTGATAGCCGCCGGTCATTCGGATTCCGCCACCATAGCCGAATGGAAGGACGGTTTGAACGAGGCCTGGCAGGATCTGCTCGAACTCATCGATACCAGGAAGCAAATGCTGGCCGCTTCGAGGGAGCTGCACAAGTTCTTCCACGATTGCAAGGACGTGTTGAGCAGAATCGTGGAGAAACAAGTGAGTTGGAATATAAAATACGCGTTGTGGGTTGTATCAAAAAATGCTTCTTTTAGGTATCCATGTCGGACGAATTGGGCAGAGACGCCGGCGCCGTGAACGCCTTGCAGCGCAAACACCAGAACTTCCTGCAGGACCTGCAGACGCTCCAATCGCAGGTGCAACAGATCCAAGAGGAATCGGCGAAGTTGCAGGCGAGCTACGCCGGCGACAGGGCGAAGGAGATCACGAATCGCGAGCAGGAGGTGGTGGCCGCCTGGGCGGCGTTGCAGATCGCCTGCGATCAGCGGCACAACAAGCTCGCCGACACCGGCGATCTGTTCAAGTTCTTCAATTTGGTGCGAACGTTGATGCAATGGATGGACGAATGGACGCGCCAGATGAACACCAGCGAGAAGCCGAGAGACGTCAGCGGCGTGGAATTGTTGATGAACAACCATCAGACGCTCAAGGCGGAAATCGAGGCGAGAGAGGACAATTTCACGGCTTGCATATCGTTGGGGAAGGAGCTGTTGAATCGCAATCACTACGCCGCCGCCGAGATTAAGGATAAATTGGTCACGTTGACCAATCACAGGAACGCTGTCTTGCAACGTTGGGAGGAAAGGTAATCTAACTACAATTTTTTTGATTAAATTTATTAACTTTCTAACATCAGATGGGAGAATCTACAACTCATCCTGGAAGTGTACCAATTCGCCCGGGACGCCGCCGTCGCCGAGGCGTGGCTGATCGCCCAAGAACCGTATTTGATGAGCCAGGAATTGGGTCATACCATCGACGACGTGGAGAATCTGATCAAGAAACACGAAGCTTTCGAGAAATCGGCCGCCGCCCAAGAGGAGCGTTTCAGCGCCTTGGAAAGGTTGACGACGGTAAGTCGGAGATTCGGCGGTTGGATAACTCTTGGTTTCGGTTTGGCAAGGGTGAAATGGTATTGCAAAAAAAACATACAAATATTTGTTCAATTTAATTTATATTAATATCGTATACAATTTCGTAAGGTTGCAATTGCAAGGTTGTTTGTAATATGGTCAAGTTTACGAGTGGAACAAAGAAAGACTATTAAAATAACAGTAGTTAAAGTGAGCAAGTTGCAATCAACCAACAATATCAGTATTTCTTTTTCCTTCATATGAGACTAAAGGAAATAGTCGTAGTTGCACCCATAGACACCATATTTTGTACAAATTTGCACTAAACTCTATATGATTAAATACTGGAGATACAGTGTGTCCCTAGATATGAAGATTAAAATTCGTTATTTTACATTTTTCGAAGAAAAATCATTCTTTATATAAACTCCTGCTTGTCGAAGGACACACTGTATAACTAATTATTATTAGACTCTCAATATATTTTTGCAATAACATTCGCCGGTTTGGTTTTGTTTCGTCTATTTCTGTTTAACGAACTGTCCTGTCTGCACTAAACGTGTTACGCTTTATTTTTCTTTTTTACTTTTCTTTTTGTAGTTAGAAAAAGGTGGCGGTAAACTAAAATCTAACGAGTATGTGCATGTTGAGACCGGTTGTGATTTTTCGTATTTGCCGCCGGTTCAAAGGAAAATCTCGCCCGCTCCCGTCCGTCGCTACACCGACGCTCAAACGAGAGACGCCGTAAATGCGATAGTAAGAGACGTCGATCGGTTCTACAGGCCGTCGGCGCCTTGCAGGAGAACGTTCGATTCGACGGGCGTGCGTAAATATCATCCGCAAAGCGCCAGGAAATCGCCTCAAAAGAGTTTCCTGCATAACAAAAGCGGCGTTTCGGCACCGCGAAAGTCCATCCTGCGCTTTAAGGAGGTCTCGTTCGTCGACGAACCGACGATTCGACCGTCGCTTTTGAAAAGCATCTCGATGTACGAGAAATCGAACATTTACAACTACACCCCGTACGATATCGACGATTACAAAAGCGAAAGGTACATTTGCCACGATTTCCTGATGGCCGAACGGTACGCTTGTTACTTGCAAAACGACGATAAAGCGATAAAGAGCGCGAAAGCGCTGAGCGCGGATCTATCGAACGGCGTGAAAAAACGGCACGGAACGGCGCGAGCGGGAATCGGCGGTTTAAAAAACACTTTCAGGAGGTCCTTCCCTTTGATGGCCGCTAGCAAAGGGGATACGGTGAGTGGTGCACGAAAAGCTTGATGGAATAACCCCCGGTTCGAAACGCTGTTAACTAGTGTGCGTGGCTTTATTATATCGCTTTCATCCGCCGTTAAAATATTACTAACAATCGATTTGATTTGTTTAGTTCGAATTGAGGGAGATCAAACGAAGGCAGGAGCTGGCGCAAGCCGAGGAACGGGCCAGACGCGAGAAGGAAGAGGCGGAACGATTGGCGGCCATCGCCGCCTCGCAGCCCAAAGAAACGGAAGCCGCCGCCATGGATAGACCGGACATCGGATCGCCTGCTGCTGAAGAACGACCAGGTAAAAGACCAGTTGAAATTTTAATAAATGTTTGTTGTTATTTTGTCCGGGGATAATGTTACAGATGATATGAATGAGTGACTATAAACTGGTAATTGAGTAGCATTTTCCTTGGATAAAATTGGTTGTGTATTTATTTAATTTTATTCGGTACAAATTGTATAATTCGTTTAAAAACAATTAACGCAGCCGGGGAAAGAAAACGGTCTTCCGTTAAAGCTGCCTCGCCTGGTGAAGGTAAACCTGCATTTATTCCGTACATACATATTTTTTTCTCTTTGCTGATACGATATAATTCATTTCTTTACGATTAGTATTCGCAATTTACTTTTTGTTCCATTTAATACAGAAGCAATGAATTAATATCGTGGTCGGTAACAATATTATTCTCTATGAATTCGGTGATGGTTTCTATTGCTTTTTGTTTACAAGAAAATTTATCGACATGCACTGGTTGTTTAAAAAGATGCACAAAAGTGGTCTCGAAACATTACTAAAAATTATTAATAACGGAGCTAACTTATTTCTTCCTAATCGAAATCTATTTAATTTCTAACAATTTATTACTTTTTCCCTACGAGTATATTTAGATGTTGAAATTAAAACTGTTATTTCATGCATTCGGTAAGTATTTGAATATGATTAATTTGAAAAAAAATGCATGAACCGCTTTTTTACTAATCACACGCTTTATTCGCTTACTGTGTACGGATTAACTACAATTTGAACGTAAGAATTGTCACTAAAAATAATTGTATAAATTATACGAAAGGCATGTTATTATATTTTTCGAATTCTAATGCATGAGCATGTTCTGTATCTGTAGTGCATGGAGAACGACAGGTCAAAACAAAGACATTACCCGCTACGTCGGCACACAGTACTCCCATTCCTGTTACTCCTCGCCCACAAACTCGTAAGTATATCAATCATATCCATTATTTGTTAATGTATTTATTTAGTATAATTTTAACTAGAATTTTTATTAAGTAAATATTGGCTTTTTTGTGGATATTTAGTTGTATATTCGTTGGTTGTTAGTATAGTAGGTACAGTACTGAATAGTACAAACCGTATTAAGCGAAATGAATCAAATTTATCGAGTAACTTAGTACCAGTAATAAATGAGAAGGCTTTATAATGCTTAACGCCTAGAGTTTTTTAAAATTCTTAATAATTCAGCTCAATATTTAAAAATCTTCTCATTTAATGGAGAGGAGTATGACTTTTTTTATTTGTTTATAAAACTACGTATTCTTATGAAGTCATTGATGAAATTTTTAATTTTCTCCGTTTCCTATTACGGCCATAATTAATTCTTAAAGTTTGAAAACCACATTAATAACTGAAAACTGCTTCGAGTTCTAATGAATTATTTCTATTCATTTATTTAGTTAAAACCCCTCTCCATTCTGGTATAAGTTCTGTACTTGCAAGTTTTGCGATAACTTCGGTTCACCTTCTGTAATATAAATCAAAATATTATAAGCTTTCGCGTGGAGCGCCTGTTGAGCTTACAATTTGTACGCGCGTGTGTGTGTGCACGTTTTGCTTTATTTGTTTATTTTGCAAGTGTCGAGAAGCGAGGAGAAAGCCAAGCGCAAAGATCGCTCACGCAGCAAATCTCCGTTCAGGAGCTTCAGATGGAAAAAGAGCTCGAAATCGCCGGGCACGCACAGCGACGACGAAGGTATGAGCACGAGCGGTGTCTCGTCGCCTCTGCAAGGTACAAAATTTCGTCTATATTGTCTATACAAGCTTCTATTTTTTTTTTATTCTACTAAAATCTCTTGTGGTTTAGTAATGTTTCATACTTCGACTAGTAGGTAATGTTTTTCGTATCGAAATTTGTGAGTTTGTTATTTGGGAATATGTTCTGTGGGTAGTAGTTTTAGTATTTTTATGTACTTATTTGACATTAGTTTAGTAATTATTATCAACAATGCTTTACTAAATTGAGTCCATAATTAAATGTTTTAGGGTAATGTAGGTAAGCCATATAATTTGGACTTAGAATTCAACGTTCTAGACAATCAAGTCCCTTAAAAAAAAGCAATAGAAATCTCTTGCTACACTATTTTTAGTTAATTTTAACAACCCTTACCGATTTCAATTCACACCTTTCAACAACCTTCCGAACCTCACCATGAATTCATAGCCACAAAAACCTGCGACTAAACTTTGCGATTATTTAGAGCAAAGCAGCGCAGGAGACGCGGAGACCTTCGAAGGTACGCTGGTGCGCAAGCACGAATGGGAGAACACGACGACGAAGGCGGGCAACCGTTCCTGGGACAAGGTGTACTGCGTGATCAGGGGCGCCCAGATGGCCTTCTACAAGGACGCCAAGACGGCCAAGTCGACGCCCGACCAGCGGTTTAAGGGCGAGGCGGCGCTGTCGCTGCGCAAGGCCGTCGCCAACGTGGCGCAGGATTACAAAAAGAAGAAGCACGTTTTCAGACTGAAGTAAGTAGATTGAATATGGACGATGGAAACCGAACTATTTTATTTCAAATATGAATACACCTTTTCCAGTTGTATATTAGAAAGCATTAAATGTATTTCAGAATAGTCAGATTTATATCAGAAAACGTCAAACGAATTTCAGATTAGTTAAATGTAGTTCAGAATAGCCAAATGCATTTTAGACAACGTCAAATGTATTGCAGAATAGTCAGAGATTAGTCATATGTAGTTCGGAATATATCAAATGTCGTTTAGAAAAGGTTAAAAACCATTCAGAATAGTCACATGGAGTTCAGAATAGTCAGATTTCTCTTCCTCCCCCTTACCCTTTGGATATGATTTTCTGCATTCCACTATGTAGTCTGAAATACATATGACGCTTTCTGAAATAAATCTGGCAAATCTGAAATACATTTGACTCTTTCTGAAAAAAATATGACTTCTGAAATGTATTTGATGCTATCTGAAATACGTTTGACTAGTCTGAAGTACATTTGATTATTCTGAAATACATTTAACACTTTCTAAAATTAATCTGACTAGTCTGAAATGCATTTGATTGATTCTGAAATTAATTTGATAGCTTCCGAAATACAACTGGAAATGGTGTAGAGTATAGTACAAATAACGTTTGTAATGGCGTTTCTTTTTTTTTTCGTTTTGTAGATTGGAAAGCGGCGGTGAGTTCCTGTTCCAAGGTCAGAACGATTCCGAAATGAATACGTGGATATCGACGATTAATTCGCACGCCGACACCGAATCGGCCGGTCCTTCTCGCTCTCATACATTACCCGCATCTGGGCAGAAGGAGGATTCGAAACGACGCAGCTTTTTTACTTTAAAGAAAACGTAAGATTGGTCGTATGATAAATCTGTGGATAGATGCCATTAATACGTTGATTATTTGGTAAAATTGAAATATCAGTACCACCAGGTTCCTCTCGTTGAGATCTGGAAGATGGTAGAATAGTAGAGTAAAAGTTTAATAGCTACCAAACAACTTTCGATAGTAATGGCAACTTACTTCTACTCCATATTAGTTTTGGCATACAGTGTGTGTCACGACGATGGATCATTAGAAGTATCTGGAAAAGTAGTGGTAATTAAAATTTAAAAAATTGTGTACAAGTCTTAGTCGATGCGCTCTGTTCAATGAAATTTTTATTACCACTACTTTTCCAGATACTTCTAATAGGTCATCGTCGTGACACACACTGTATATCCACGGAAATGTTATTATTGAAATTGGTGATGTTGGAAAGGTGCTATGCATTTCTAAGATCCCAGTTTTTCAAAAATGCACGTGTTTAATTAATGATTGCATTTAATTTTCAGATAAATTGTTCTACTCTTGATAATACCTGTATCTTTACGCTTTACCTGAACGGACCGTAGTCCTGACTTCGCTCTTTCTTTTTTATATTAGCATATATATTATATTTAATATATTTTTCTTGTAGTATGCACAGTATAATTGTAATTTTAAATGTATAGTAATTATTACTATGTGATTGAAATTTATTGTATCGACTGGGCCAAAGGAAACCACGTCAACCAGTGTTAATTTTCGGATATGAATATTACATACAGATTAACTAGAACATAAAATGGAAAAGGTGTAAGAGTTCAGAGGGGAAATCGAGTCATGTTTCAATAATTAAAATTAACTAATCGACGGGCTTGTCCGTCGTACTTTTCCTCTTTTAATTTAATCATTAATTTACTCGTAAATGTTTATTTAATAAGTTGCAATATATTTTTAAAGCTTTGCTTGACAAAGATCGATTCGGTGAATAAGTCATTTATATATTTTTCATTTAATAATTTGTAGTTATTTTACATATTTGAACATGTGTGCTTTTAAAAAATGGAGTTATAATAAATATTGTTTTTAGTAACATGCATTCTTTATTTATGTATGTGTTAACCCGTTCCAAAAATGATAATTTTTAAAAACATTTATTTCACAATAATAAGGATAACACGATATTGATCAAGTGAGATAGTTGAGCTCTAAATGCGTCTGACGACAAACGCGAAGCCGCCTTTACGGTTATAGTTAGAACATTGGGGGCCTGTTCCAGACGCTGTAGAAGCTTATTTACAAGACAGTATAATTAGGAAATAAATTTTTACATATAAATATTGTGTTTTTTTAATAAATAAATAAAACTTTTGAAGGATTTTACATAAAAAGGCATTTCGTTTTGAGATTTCTGAAAAATTGACAACGATTATGCATTTATAAGTTTTTAATGACCGAATTACTGGTTGCCTACCTACTAGTGTCCATAAATCGATTTTCCATCGATAAATGTAATTCTGGTTGTCTAACTATTGTATTGGTAAGGCGCGAGTAATAAGTATCAGGAGTAAACCTCTTCACACATTCTGCTCTCCTAATACGAAATTTCAAATTCACGTTTTATTTCGAGATTTGAGCACAAGTTTTCGTCGATCTCCATTGATAAATTTCGGATATTAGGCAATGAGAATATGCAAGGAAGTTCAATATCGGGAGATATTTAGTATATCGAGAGAGATACGTCTAGGGAAGGTCCTGGATGAATCCTGATGCTTTAATAAATATTCTAAATGTTTCGTCGTTCTTGAAAAGACATTTTCAAAGATAATTTGACATTTTGGGCATTATTAATAATTCTTTATTACAAAAATGATACGAAAATAGAATATTAAAAATTTTTTATGACATCCTTAATCCTGATTTTAGAATTCTTAGTATTTTTCGTTCATTAAAAAAACGCAAAACTTTTTCAACGCAATTTGTAAAAATCTGGAGCTATTAAATCAAAAAGATCGGGAGAAACAAATATTAGGAGTTCTAGTAGTTTGTGTCAAACGTGCGAAAATCTCACGATAAAACGTGAATTTAAGAATTCGTATTAGGAGAGCAGAATGTGTGAAGAGGTTTACTTATGACGCTTATTAATCGCGCTCCTGCTCGAAGCAATACATACAAAGGCAACCATTAATTCGAATTTCAGTAATTCTGGTTGCCTATCTATTGTATTAGTAAAGCGCGAGTAATAAGTATCAGGAGTAAACCTCTTCACACATTCTGCTCTCCTAATACGAATTCTTAAATTCACGTTTTATCGTGAGATTTTCGCACGTTTGACACAAACTACTAGAACTCCTAATATTTGTTTCTCCCGATCTTTTTGCTTTAATAGCTCCAGATTTTTACAAATTGCGTTGAAAAAGTTTTGCGTTTTTTTAATGAACGAAAAATACTAAGAATTCTAAAATCAGGATTAAGGATGTCATAAAAAATTTTTAATATTCTATTTTCGTATCATTTTTGTAATAAAGAATTATTAATAATGCCCAAAATGTCAAATTATCTTTGAAAATATGTTTTCAAGAACGACAAAATATTTAGAATATTTATTAACGCATCAGGATTCATCCAGGACCTTCCCTAGACGTATCTCTCTCGATATACTAAATATCTCCTGATATTGAACTTCCTTGCATATTCTCATTGCCTAATATCCGAAATTTATCATTGGAGATCGACGAAAACTTGTGCTCAAATCTCGAAATAAAACGTGAATTTAAAATTTCGTATTAGGAGAGCAGAATGTATGAAGAGGTTTACTCCTGATACTTATTACTCGCGCTTTACTAATACAATAGATAGGCAACCAGAATTACCGAAATTCGATTAACTGGTTGCCTTTGTATGTATTTGTAATCGAACAGGAGCGCGATTAATAAGCGTCATAAGTAAACCTCCTCGCACATTCTGCTCTCCTAATACGAAATTTCAAATTCGCGTTTTATTTCGAGATTTGAGCACAAGTTTTCGTAGATCTCCATTGATTAATTTCGGATATTAGGCAAGGAGAATATGCTAGGAAGTCCAGTATCGGGAGATATTTATTATATGGAGAGAGGTACTTCTACGGAAAGTCCTGGATGAAATTTATCATTTTGGGCATTATTATTGTTTTATAGTAGAAATGATGAGAAAGTCGAATGCTAAAAGTATTGTCAAGTTTATTGAAAAAAAAACGCAAAACTTTTCTCGAGTTTATTGAAAAAAAACGCAAAACTTTTCTCGAGTTTATTGAAAAAAAAAACGCAAAACTTTTCTCGAGTTTATTGAAAAAAAACGCAAAACTTTTCTCGAGTTTATTGAAAAAAAAACGCAAAACTTTTCTCCAGTTTATTAAAAAAAAACGCAAAACTTTTCTCGAGTTTATTGAAAAAAAAAACGCAAAACTTTTCTCCAGTTTATTAAAAAAAAACGCAAAACTTTTCTCGAGTTTATTGAAAAAAAAACGCAAAACTTTTGTCGAATTTATTGAAAAAAAAAACGCAAAACTTTTCTCGAGTTTATTGAAAAAAAACGCAAAACTTTTGTCGAATTTATTGAAAAAAAACGCAAAACTTTTCTCGAGTTTATTGAAAAAAAAACGCAAAACTTTTTCAAGGCAATTTGTAAAAATCGGAAGAAAAATTTTGTACATCGTTCGAAAATTTCTCGTTAAAAATTTGCGAATTTGAAATTTCGTATTAGGAGAACAGAATGTGTGAAGAGGTTTACTCCTGATACTTATTACTCGCGCCTTACTAATACAATAGTTAGACAACCAGAATTACATTTATTGATCGAAAATCGATTTATGGATACTATTAGGTAGGCAACCAATTTATCTATTATATACCTCTAAGATACCAGAAATGCATTAGAAATGAATAAGTTTGAAGGATTTTTTTATAAAAAATGCATTAAATGGCGATTTCAAAATATATAAAACAAATCACTTTCAACGATATTTTTATTTTCTTACAATAAACTCACTACCGTTAAATGCAACAAAATAGAGACGAAATATTAATATACAAAAACGTTACAGGAGTAAAATTTTAAAATCATTGTGTCGATCTCAATTCTAACACTTCTTATTTCGCACTTCTTCATGAAATTTTCCTTTTATGGTTTTCCTTTTATTCCTTCTCGGTTTGCCCGTTGAATTTCGTTACAGAGTCGATACAAATTCACCTACAAATCACAAATTATTACATTAACTCCTATTATAACATAATAACGCTTTGAAATGCATACCTGAGGAATGATATAATATTATTCTTTCAGAAATTCATCGATAAACAAAATGGCGAAGGCCGTAGATCGCAAGATAGATACAAAAAGTGGCGATTCCGTCTCAATTTCCGTAAATGATTGAACTGTCATTTTTCTTAATACCATCCAATGCTCAATCAAGGGCAATCAGGAACCAAAGACAAAAAAATCTATCGGATTTCTCCTACAAACAATTATAACTCAATTATAACAATAATTAAGCATTGTAAAACTAACTAACCCTGCTGAGTGAACTGAAACCTCTTTTAACTTCACGATACAACAGCTTGGAGAGAATTTCTTGATACTTGTACATGCTCTGTGAAGTTCCTGGGATTCCACAATTTCCTCATAAGCTCGCCGAACTTCTGCAGGAGCAGATGGAAGGTCTCTTTACATTACTGCAATTTTCTTCTCCTCTTGAGAAGTCATTCCGAAGCGGATTAACAAGAGTCAAAGCCTGCAATTTTGCGCATTAAGAAATAACCAAATTCGTTCGGTTAACTCGACTTACCTGCAGCACTGCATTACAGTAATCGTTAGCTTTAATGTTATTTAGGCCTACAATACAGGGGGATGTACAACGATCCATCGATAGGTCTGGACAACTTCGTGGGATTCAACACATACTTCGTATCATTTAAAGAGGAATCTATAACAAACCGTTTGATTACTTAATATTTCCACAATCATTATAACCCCTCTACCTATGATTTTAATTGCCTGGTAAATAGTAGAATTCAAATATTGACACAAACTTACGTTACCTGCGGAAGTTTGATTATGGATGTACTTTCCAGTTTTCCAGAATTCTCCTCCTCGAGGTGCATCCTTGGTAATGCTTAAGGGTCCGTCGGGCTTATAATCGTGTGCAAACCCCCTAAATTAATTGCCAAAAAATTGTCGATTTATTTGACAAGAAATTTCTCCCGATTAAAGTAGCTGTATAAGTTACAAGTATAAGGATAAATAAAGTTAACTATGGCAACGTCGGAATTTTTCACGACGGGAGAAATTGTGAAACAGCGCATTATGACATGACAGATGACGGATTCCTTTCTGTATTTAGACCAACGTTTTGGTTGCCATGATTTTTGATAACAACTGAAGTGCAACCATTTTGTCTGGCGATTTAATAGTTTTTGGTATTTAAAAATTGTCCAATTTTCTTTATTTTAGGATTATTTTGTCGATTAATTAAATAGACACCGTCACCGGTAAGTAAACGTTTACAATTTTCCCAAAATTCAGGTAAAAACACTAATTTGTGTCGCAATTTAATCCCATTTAGAATCATTGATTTTATTCGAGGAATTTCAATGTTAACTCTCTTCAATTGCCCTTGATAATGGAATATCGAGTTCTCGCGTGTACCTCCAACAAAACTTCATAAATTTTATATTATTTCATTTCAGATATTCGAAATGCGCGACTCCCCAGATTCGATTCCCAAACGGAGTCGCAGCAAAAGCAGTAACAGTAGCATAAGCAGAAAAAGCAGAAGTCGAAGCCTGTCAAGTGGCTCGAGGTATTGTATAATCAATTCCACCATTCATCTCGTACACCTGTGATAATATGCGAGGCATTTCAAATTACACTATTTCTACGCATTCTACATGCATTAGTTACACTACGACAATTTAAGAGCACTTGCTAGACAATTATCGTATGGAAGGAAAGTTGGTTATGGAAGGAGCGCCTCGAAGAAGAAGTGGCTGCTTAACTAAACTGGCCTCTTATTGAATTTCGCCTGCCAATTCTATCATTTGTATTTGCGACTGCGATCACAGGTGTGCTATAACTTTCGAATGAAAGTGCATTACGTTTTTATGCAGGTCTCGTTCTCGAAGCCACAGCAGCGACATTGACGGTTACAGATTACACATAGCCGATATAGGCGATGATGTGAGACGATCGGATTTGGAAAAGGTCTTTTCGCCTTACGGCAATTTAAAAGAAGTATGGATGACGAACAGTACACCCTGTTTTGGATTCGCTGTATTTAAAGACAAAAAAGCGGCGGCGGCCGCCCTCAAAGGTGCTGATGGAGCGTAAGTGAATAATAAATGATTGTGAATAGAGCCGAGTAAGTTGGTGGCTGAATAACGTGAATGGCCTCTTCTGAAATTTTATTGAGATGCACGAATAGAGTGGCAAGTAAATTATATTGTGTTTTAGTGAAGTTGCTGGTTGCCGAATACGCGTAACGTACGCAAGACCTAGAACTAGAGGATCGGGTAGACGATTTTATAATAGTAACATGCGCTGTTATCAGTGCGGATATACGGGACACTTTTATCGAGACTGTCCCGATATAAATGGCGGAGAAAAACGAGATCGGTACAGTATTTATTTTTCTATTTGCAATTTATTTTTTATCGCATTCAATTTCAAATGAAATAGCAATTTTGCATCCCCCAAAATTAATCGTTTAGTACAACAAAAAAAACTTTTTTTAAACTTGTCTCTACCATACATTTGTTTGGAATCTTTACACAGTATATTCTTTGTTGTATTAAACATTTAAACAAAATAATTTATACTCAAAACGCTTCATATCTAGTTATTTTTAGCCACATCGAATTACTAAAAGTTTCACACTCAAATTCGAAAAAAGCTTTAATCCACACACATACACACACATGGTTTATTTTTTTGTTAATTACCTAATTGTTGTTTTGTGATTTGTCAGGCACATGGTTGTTTATTTATATGGTTTGGTAAAAAGAATAAAGTGTTATGGAATTGTATGATGGGCCTTGAGTCGCGTTGACTTGGCGTGGACAAAAAATTAGCTTAAAAACGGCAATTATGTACGGGGTGGTGACTGATTATGGTTTCATTGTTGGGTACCTATTTTTAGTTACGGCCGATCGCGCGGTTATAGAGAAAGAGATTACGACAGGGAGCACAGAAGACATCGTTCGAGTAGAAGTAGTCGATACGATGATAGGCCGAGACGTAGTGGAAGACACCGAAGATAGATAATATTTTGTTGTATTATTACGTGTTTTTTTTTAATAATCAAATTTGATTTGCAGGTAATTGTTTGAAGGTACATTTCAAGTTGTAATTTTTGCGACCGATAGCGTGTATACCTAAATATAATCTATTGGAGAGTGAATAATTTAGAATAATCTCTTCGATAGGGGGCATGCTTTACAATCAATACATTTATAGTGGTTGCATTAGTTATTATTGAAATGGAATCATTGAAAATCTGATTATTAATTTTATTGCATCGGTTTGTTTGCCCCCCCTTTCACTTTTATAGTGCGGAATAAATTTATTAACATTTTTTTAGTCGTTTGTAGATTTTAATGAAATGCTAATAACGTTATTACTGAGGTTACCCGAAGTCTGGTAGAAATAATGTATAATTTTAAAATTTAGTCAAATATATTTCTACCTGTTGTCGAGTTTTTTTTATTTAATTACACATAATTTTTGAACTAAACACCAAGATTTTATTGTAAATATGACAACTAAGTAAAAAAAAATATTCTTTTTACTCAGTGGCCGCAGTCGCGTACATTATTCGGCTATTTTGAGGTCTCCATTCTACCGATTATTCAGCCAACTTAAATTGACACTTCTCGTTGACGTGTTGAATTTGCCATAAAAATGTGGGGTTATACATAGGGAGTTCCCATAAATTTAATTAATTCAAGCGGGTTGACAACAACATACAGTTTAACTAGAAATGGCCGAAGAAGATCCTTCGCAGGAGAGAAGATCGGACAACTTCCAAAGAGGTAGGGGATATCCCAACAGGTCTTTTAGCCGATACCGCGGCCGAGGCGGTAGAGGCAGAGGAGATGTACAAAGAACACTACACGAACTAGGAGTCACTGATTTAAGGGAACACCTCAACAGAAAACATCACACAGACCAGGTAAACTACTGTAATAATCACTCAATTAGTGTGTTATATAAGTATGTATTTTTTTAGTCAAAAAGTGTACCTCCCTCCGACCCTTCGTATAACTTCTTAAGGGACCCTACAAGAGAACAAACCAGTCCAGTTTCCAAGGTAAACGCACCGCTCGCATCCTTTCTACAATCCCTTTATTTCTACTGCATTTCAGAGTCCCAGTTCGCAACGTCCCGGCAGAAGCAAAACGCAAGACACCTACATACAGAACCCGCTCAACATCGTAGTAGAACTGACCACTCAAACCGGCCAAAGGAATTATTCGATAGACGATGCCCCTGTATTGCACAGCATAAAGCACGTACCGGATTATCCAGATGAACGATCCAGAGGTAGCAGAAGCGCCAGAGCCAGAGGAAGGAGCAGACACAACGTCGAAGAACGCGCCAAGAGCACCGAACGCAAATACGAAGATAAAACCGACGAAAAAGGACCGAGTCAAATGAGAAGTAGAAGCGTGGAGGGTAGAAGCGACGCGAGTAGTACCAGAGGCAGGTCCAGTTTCCGTTCGAGGGGCCACTACAGAGGAAGGCAAAGGAATACGGAGTACGAAAACGTCGGTAGAGGCAGCAAAACTAGAGGTAGAGGTAGAGGAAGATCCTTCAGATATCGAGGAGATGCTTCGAACAGAAAATACCAACCCTCAGATGATTATCGAGAAGCTCAAGCTGACCCGACTGAACCGGAAGAAAACTGGGATGAAGCAGCTGATAAAGAGTGTATCAAAAAACAAAGTAATTCCGAAGAAACCGATGATCCTCATACTCCTGAAGAAAATGAGGAACCGAGCAATGACGCTGAAGAAGAAGAAGACACTCCAGAACCAGAGGATCCGAATAAAAGCAGTGAATTAGAAAACGAACCGCTGTTGGAGGACTTACAGGCTACCATAGCTAAAGAAAACCTCGTGGTTACATCTTCGGATGAAAATGAAAATAAAAACAAGAAGAGAACAGTGAGATTTAAAGAAAACGAAGGCGCTGGCGAGGAGCAATCGGACGACGTTAAAGGATGACAACAGGGAATTTCGGCGAAATCATAGCGGTCGAGATATTTTTATAATCAAAGACGGTTTAATTGAACTGATGAAATTTTAATATTGCGTTGTTGAAGATTGTGATAAATGTTTTTTCGATTAATTTTTACAATATTTTTAACGCGGAGTTATTACTAGAATTCGTGCCAATAACAGAAACTGATGAGGCACGCTAATTTTAAATAAATATTTGAATTACTAAGATTATTAATCGGAGGTAAATAAAATTTTGTAAAAATAGATTATGATACATAACAAAAATAATTCAAGAGTTTAATTGATTGGTGTTTCTATATATGTATTTGTTGTTAATGTGATTTTTTATTTTATTCAAAACAACAGCTTCAAGCTTTTTTTATTATTGTATACTCATTAAAATGTACCTAATTTATAATCTTATAGAAGTTGCATATGAATGTTATTATTAACTTTATTTTATTGTTTGAATGTATATTAATAAACGAACCTTTATTTTAATTAATATTTTTCTATTAATTGACAATTAAATTTTCATGATAAATGTCTAATTGTGCTACTATCTATCTTTCGGTTAAGCCGAAAATGTAGTTAGAAAACTTATCAAAATGTTCTTGTAACAAACGTCTAATAAAAATTTCTAAAAAAATTGATACGTTCAATGTTTTAGTTTGTATAGAAAATCCGTGATAAATATTTAATGCAAGTTAACCCGTAGATAAAGTAATAGATCGATTTATCTATATTTACCCGCTAAAAATACACCGCAGAATAGATAAGAATCCCGTTAAAATTTGTTACCTCTCAATAATTTCTCCGCATTAACTCGTTGTAATCTCGAAGCCATCTTGTAGACAAATTCTAAATTCATACCGATGATATGAAAATGAGCAATCCTCAGAAACACTCAGCAAATACAGTACCTCTTATGTTTCGATCTGCAAAACCAAAGCAATTATTTAAACTAACCAGTTCGAAGAAAGAGAAGTTAAAATTGAATAAGTTTGTAGCATTTATTGTAAAGCTTCGTAATATTTACAGAAACAATTCCTGTATAAAATTATTTGAATTACTGCACCCTGTTTAATTTAGAAATAAAGAAACGCCCTGTATAGCAAAGTTTGTAGTTGTACGCCCTAATCAAATACATTTTTATCCGCTGCGTTATTAGATTAATAAGTTAATCAATATATTGGATTTCACAAAAACGAAACTACAAGCTCATCTGTAATAAGAAGAGATAACAAATGGGTTATTTATTAATCAATAAATATATGTACAGGTAACTATGGTTACTGGTATGTATGATTGATACATACTATTATAATCCGAGCGCTTATACCCCCAATTATATTACGAGTATTGTTTAAAAACTTTTTAAATTTTTAGCAATTTTAGGCAACAACTTCAGTCGATCGATTCGAATTCTCGAAAACGAATTCGACAGGAAAAAACCCGCTAAAAATCGCAATCGATACGAGAGAGAGAGTTTCGCTTCGGCATCGTCCGGATTAAAATCCAGAAGCGCTGCCGCACGTTTCTCGGCGTCGCGACGCCACGCCACTCCGCCGCCGCCGTCTGAATGACATCCGACACGCCATCGCGGTCGTCCTCCAGAAATGGAATACATTTGCAAATTCAAAAAGGTAATCTAACAAATCGAACAGACCACTCGCCTTGATTGCATGTACGCGTATATACATATAGGTAGCCAGATATCGCTTAGTATATAAGTAGGCTATTTGAATGTGAAATGCGAGTTCGCGTGCCGTCGCGTTTTCTCATTGTTTCGCTCTCTTTCTGCGCTTCCGTCGGGGAAAAGTTAGAAATAAACGACTTGTTGATTTTTTTTTGTTTTGTCGGTAGAGAATGGTGTACCCTGAGCAATTGAATTTGGACCAAATCGGAGGGAAATCGGATCAAAATGCGCCATCGTGGTGTAGTGAACCTTTGGAAACGGCCTGCAATAATATCAACGCCAAATTGCCGGACTCTCCAGTTAAAGAATCCATCCAAGATAGTTCGTACAAAAACGGAACCATACCTCACATGTAAGCACAATGTTTCTCACGAATAGTAGTTCTTATCAAAAATGTAGATATTAAAATGAGAAATCCAAAGAATCTAAGTCGCGGACGTGCGGGTCATTTAAATGGACCATTATTAACAATCCACCTATCCTAGAATAACTCCTATAATGAAGACATCTTCCTTTCATCATACCACCATGAACAATTTGTATAATCGTGGAAAAATATTCTAATTGAATATCTTGAGTTGAAAACACTTGTACACAACTACCAAATTTTAATTACTACTAGTTTTCCACCTACTTCCAATGAACAATTCACTTACTCTCACCATCTCCGCTACCTCAAACGTCCACCTAATAACGTTATTTTTTCTATTTATCTACACAACAAACAAGGGCGAATAGGCAATTCATCCAGGACCGCATAAGGCACCTGGTGGACGCCTTCTCCACGAGAACGATGGCGGCGCGCGAACGGATCGAAACGCCGGCGACGCCGAGCTCCATAAGCAGCAGAGAAACCGTAGATCAACACCCGGCGGCGCCGGTCAAGCACAAATTGAGCGTCTCCTTCTCCGACAGATACATGGAGGAGGAAGCCGATAAGGTGGAATTCCCATCGACGAAAATCGGATTCGCGCGATTTTTCGGTAAGGAAATAACTAGCTTTTATGAGAGACGAACGGGATATGGAGTTAGAAGGGTTTTGAAGTCTTAGAGGTCTCCATTTTGGAATAAATGGATTATCTTCATTGATCATTGAGCAAGATTCTCCAACTGATATCATCAATGATCAATGAGGAAGATTCTCCAACTGATATCCTAAATGATCAATGAGGAAGATTCTCCAACTGATATCCTAAATGATCAATGAGGAAGATTCTCCAACTGATATCCTCAATGATCAATAAGGAAGATTCTCCAACTGATATCCTCATTGATCATTGAGGAAGATTCCCCAACACATATCCTCATCGATAAATGTTCTAGATCTCTATCTTCGTACTAACGCAACTTCTAAATTCCATTTCTTCCCATTAACAACGCTCGATGTGTCCGCAGATAAGAAAATAATAGACCCGAACGGTAGATTCTACATGTTGTGGATGTCGATAGCGGCGATGGCGGTGTTCTACAACGCCTGGGTGATACCGTTAAGGAGCACTTTCCCGTATCAATCGGCCGATAACAGAGCCGTCTGGATGACCTTCGATTATTTGGCCGATTTGATTTACCTCATCGACATGACGTGCTTTCAACCGAGAGTGAAATATCTGAGCGACGGTTTCTGGGTGGTCGATATCAAACTACTCCGAAGCAATTACATGAAAAGCAATCGATTTAAAGTAATAAATTTAATTTATCGTCGTTTTATGCTACGATGTATTATGAATTTCAGTTGGATCTTCTGTCGTTGCTACCGTTAGATCTCCTCTACTTGATACTGGGACCGGAGCAAGTTATCCTTCGCCTGCCGAGGTTCTTCAAAGTGCACACCTTCTGGTCGTTCTTCAGCCTAATCGACAAGCTCCTGTCCAATCCGTACATCATCAGGATCTCCAGGACGTTGATGTACATGATGTACCTGATACATTTGAACGCGTGCGCCTACTATTCCTTCTCCTCTTGGGAGGGCATTGGCAGCAACAATTTCGTGTTCAACGGCAAAGGTAACGCGTACATCAAGTGCTTCTATTTCGCCACCAAAACTGCCACATCGATAGGTGAACGATACGCTACATAACTTAGTTGGGTCGAGTTGGAAATTGTTGTGTTTTTAGGTAAAAATCCGAAGCCGACGCAAGAATTCGAATTCATGTTTATGACGTTCTCTTGGCTGATGGGCGTCTTCGTTTTCGCCCTTTTGATCGGCCAAATTCGTGATATCATTTCGACCGCTACGAGATCTCGCACCGAATACAGGAAATTGGTCAACGAAACGTTGGAGTACATGCGAAGGTTGAATCTACCGCAAGACGTCCAACGCAGGGTCCAATTGTGGTTCAATTACACCTGGAAGACCCAAAGAACACTCGGTACTATCTCGTATATTATCTACTTCTTCCAGGTCCATTGTAGTTTGATCCTCCTCATCAACTTCCTGAACCATTCAGTGTTTTCTCTTTAATCGCCGTTGGTTTATGTTTGCAGATGAAAACACCATAATGGATTGTTTGCCGCACAAAATGAAAACCGACATATCCATAAACGTGCACATACAAACGTTGAGCAAAGTGACATTGTTCGCGGATTGCGACGAGGCTCTGCTCAGAGAATTGGTGTTGCAATTGAAATCCGTTATTTACCTACCAGATGATATAATATGCAAAAGGGGCGACGTGGGCAAAGAGATGTACATAATTCAATCCGGTAAAGTACAAGTAAGTTATAGCAGAACGTACTTAGTACATAGCAAGTTATATTAATATTCTGTTTCCTATTAAGGCCACAATTAATTTTTCGTACTCCTTTCAATTGTAGGTAATAGGTCCGACGGGTGAAGTACTTGCCACGCTTTCCGAAGGCTCCGTGTTCGGAGAAATAAGCCTTTTAGGCATACCGGGGATGAGTAGACGCACCGCCGACGTAAGGTAAACGCGAAATTATTCATAATAATCGATCGTAGACATCTTTTTCCGATGCAGATCTCAAGGTTATTCGAATCTCTTCGTGCTAAGCAAAGCCGATTTGAACGAAGCTTTGGCTCACTATCCAGAAGCTCAAGAATTGCTCAATAAGAAAGCCAAGTCGCTGATGAAGAAAAACGCCGCCATCGAGAGGAAACACAAGGCTATGATTGTCATCAACAATCCGGAGCCGCCGGATAGGAACAACAAGTTTTTGGATACCGTTTTGCAAGTACCGTTTACACGTTAAACGTTAAATTACGAGTGTAATATTAAAGCGGGTTATGTTGTAGGTTTTACCGCCTAATTCAGCTACGAACAGACTGCTGAGGTTCGGAAGTAGAGGCAAGCCTAGGCGAAACCCCGAGAACGACATATTCAAATATCGCAACAGTTTACCGTTGATAAAAGGCCATCACGGCATCGACATAGACAATTATTTCGGCGAAGATCTAAACATATAATAAACTATTTAGTTACCTATAGTTTAGTTCTTGACTTGCGAAATTATTTCGTTGATTTCCTCGACCGCTTCCAGGTCCAATTCCATTTCCGAATCGTCCGAGAACTCGTTCGCGTACGAAATGTCTTCTTCGATTAATTTTTCAACATCATCGGTTTCATCTATGCGATAAATACAAATTTATCTTACTATTTATAAATTAAAAGTGTGGTACTCACCTTCGGATAGAACGATAGTTTCATCGATATCTTCATCGACGTTAAGATTTAGATTTCTTCTAAAGCCCCTTTTTAAATTGTCCAGCATACCGCTAGAAACGCTCGCCGTGTTTGTGCTGTCCGATGGATCTTCATCAGGACTCGAGTAATATTTTGATTGGGATCTGATGTTGTCTTCTAATAACTCGTGCCGGACCCGCTCCAAAATATACCTGTGGTGTTTAATAATCATTAAATTGAGTGGTAAGTTAATTAGTATTTACCTATTGGCTATTTCTCGACAGTGTTCGGAGAAGTTCAGCGGTAACCACCCTGTTTTCGGATTGTACGGCAAATGGCCGGGTGTTTTCGGTAATCGCTGGAGCATATCTTGTACTTCGGGGATTTGTAAATCGCAAAACTGCAACGAAAATCTCGTGAGTATAAGAAAAGTCGATTGTTGGATTAATGTACTTGGTAAAACATTTGTCTAAACGGTGGCATCATGTCGGGTTTGAGCATAAAGTGGCTTTCGTCGATGCCTGACGAGGACGCTTTCAATTTCGCTTTGATTTTAATTTTCGTCCCTTCTAAAATACGATTACCGTTAACACAAACTGTTGTTTGTAATGTTCATGTGACTACCTCTAATTCGAAAATCGAGAGTTTGATATATCCTCATATTGAAATCCTGCCTGGGATCCACTCCGAACTTTGTCCACACGATTCTCCAAGGACCGTTAGTCCAGAAATACGCCACAGCTGGCAAGACTGTTTTCACCACTTCGCTTTTGAGCCCCAATTTGTATTGAACAGCGGCCTTCAACCACATAGGTCGCTCGTCAAACAACTAAAACACCAAAATTAATGCTCCATTAACAAATTACTACATTATCACCTTTTGCATTTGCAAGTAGGCTTCATCGCATAGTTTATCTTTAACTAACTTTAAAGCTAGGGGTTTTGGACTGTCGGGGATTTTTAAACCGGTGTCGTTGATGTTAAGAGTGTACGATGGCTGAATGTAAGGATGTTTGGGGGTTTTTTTCTTGAACATTTTGAATAATTCCGGTCGATCGTTTTTGTCTAAGTTGAATTTCTCTTCTGCGCTTAGGTATAAAGTGTGGTGGGATAGTTCGTATCGGGAGAAGCTCGCTGGTAATAGAAATGGCGGTTGGTGTTTGCTCTCTTTGGACCTAAATTAAATATGAAAATATTAAATTAAATTAAATATTGGAATTAAATACGAAACGTACATTAGGAATTCGAGTGTTGGTAGTTTTTTTGGGAATATTTTATCGTGAACGTATTCGACTTGGTCAGTTTCTTTGTTTTCTACTAATGGTAAATATTGGTAGTCTAAAGCTTCTGTAAAAGAAATATAATAGTTATTTAGCGAATTTCAATTCATGTTTTGAAATTTACTGTTAAATGTAAAATTGCTGTTTGTATAACCGATTATCTTGTAGTCGATTTCACCATTTTTCTTTGTGACTTCGACTAGTAGTCCAGGATTGGTGTCCATGTCAGAATAACATGGTTTATTGAATTTGTTCTCCGGGTGGAACCTTAGTTCTAATTTCTTTTTAGGATCGGAAACAGCCTAAAATAAATATTAATTAAAAACGTAACGAATTTACCGTTAAATTATTACAGTTTCCACGTTGTATATTCCTCCTAAAGTTTCCAAAGCTTTGGGAACGTTTTTAACCACACCGGGATATAAAATTCTAACAAATTTCCTATCGAGTTTGTAAATTCGATTCTCATCTACAATAGTTGAAGAAATATTAGACATTGGTTCATCTTCTACTGTATTTTTATCGGCAGCTTTTTTAGAATTCATTGTAACATTTAAAAATAACAGCAACAATTTTTTTCAAATTGAAAATTTTAACTTCTAAGTTTTATCCTAACCTAACATATTCTTCTATTTTTACAATTTTAAGTTTTTCATTAATTTAGAATGTAATTCTTATTATTAGTAAGTTATGATTACCATATTAATAAAATTCAAACGATATATGCAATAATTCGCAGAAAAATAACTATTTTTTTAATTTTTTATTCTTGAAAGTGACTACATTACTGCATAAAAATGGATTATCCAAAATACGATGCAGATTATTGACATTTGCATTGACATTGACATATGTCAGTAGTCCATTTTCCTAAAAATCGGCATTTTGGTTAATTTTAGACTTTTCTTTTCGATTTATGGTAAATTATTTGCTACAAAAAACCAATTCAATTGAAAAACACACCCTATAATTTTCGTTTAAGGTATTGGTATTGTCCAAAGGCTACAACAATAAATCATAACCTAGTTGTGTTGCAGTATAAAAATTTAGGAAACGAAAATGTCTGCGTCTCAAATTTTCAACAGAATAGGCCAGTTCGGACTGGGAGTAGCCCTCGTAGGCGGAGTAGTAAACTCAGCATTATATAACGGTGAGAATTCAACATTATCGAATGTTAGGTTATGTTCAACACATGACTTTTCTTGCAGTCGACGGAGGCCACAGGGCAGTCATTTTCGACCGATTCTCCGGTATTAAAAAGACCGTAATAGGCGAAGGCACCCACTTCTTCATCCCTTGGGTGCAAAAACCCATCATCTTCGACGTCAGATCGCGTCCCAGGAACATCCCCGTAGTAACCGGAAGCAAAGATTTACAAAACGTAAACATCACGCTGCGTATCCTATTCAGACCCGTACCCGATCAACTACCTAGAATTTACACGATCTTAGGCCAGGATTACGAGGAGCGAGTACTTCCTTCCATTACGACGGAAGTACTGAAAGCGGTCGTAGCTCAATTCGATGCCGGTGAACTCATCACACAGCGAGATCTAGTATCTCAAAAGGTTTCGGACGATTTAACAGAAAGAGCCAAACAATTCGGCGTTATTTTAGACGATATCTCCCTGACTCATCTCACGTTCGGTCGGGAGTTCACTCAAGCCGTCGAGTTGAAACAGGTGGCTCAGCAAGAGGCCGAGAAAGCCAGGTTTGTGTTGTACAGTCATGGATAAAGTACGGTATTGTACCGGTCGATTTGTTGGTTACAGATTTTTGGTGGAAAAGGCTGAACAAACGAAAAAAGCGACAGTAATCTCGGCCGAAGGGGACGCACAGGCAGCTATAATGTTGGCCAAAGCCTTCGGGGATGCCGGTGAAGGTTTGGTGGAATTGAGGCGTATCGAAGCCGCCGAAGACATCGCTTATCAACTATCTAGATCCAGGCAGGTGTCTTATTTGCCCAGTGGACAGAATTTGCTACTCAACGTGCCAACGCCGGGGAACTAAATACATAAATGTTAGCGGAGGAAAAGCGAGAGGGTTGTTGCATTCACGAATTGGTTTTTTTTTCACTTAATAGCCTGTTGTTTTATTTGGCTATTTCGATGGAACCGTAGATACGTCCCGCGGGCTTAATACATTTTATATTTTATAAATTTAGATGTAATGATTTGTTAATAAATTGTTTAAAATTATTCCGAAACTCACTTCGCGTTTATCCGAAATTAACTCTAACACTTGATGAGAAACACCGGTTAAATATTTCACATGGAACTGTTGTTGGGAATAATTAAATTTCAAACATATTGCCCCGAAGTACTTATTAGCCGAGAGATAACATTTACATGGTTTCCTCTAAAATTTTATGACTTGCTCGAAGTCACGATTCCCCTCCAACTGAACGAATTTCGGCGGAATATTTTTTGCACTTGCATTTCAAACGTATCATTAGCCAAATTGTCAGTGCAGGCGTTCGGAATTTTTACTAACTCTACTAGAAAAACGACTAAATTTGTTCCATGAATGATTCTTGTTTCCTCTTTTGGACGCTTATAATTCATTCTAGAACCATTTAGAACTGTCTGGAACCATTTAGAACGCTCCATAAGCATTTAAAACTGTCTAGAACGATTTAGAACGCTTCAGAACCAATTAGAAAGCATCAGAATCAATTAGAACTATTGAGAACGCTCCAGAATCATTTAGAACAATCGAGAACGCCCCAGAATCATTTAGAACTGTCTCGAACTACAGATTTTGTCTTAATAAGAAGAATAATATAATTTATCAACTGAAAATCGCGATCTTTCATCATCAGGCCGAGAACTTTTCACCTTATCCTTGTAAATAAATAGAAACTTATTCTAGAGGATTTGATTATTTGCATATGAAACGCCGCTGATTCAATTCCGATAACCAAATATACTTATACAAAAACCATGTGTTATCCTGTCTATTTTTTTGCATACACTCGAATTTCTGTAATTCACATAAATTTACCAGATAAAACGTATAGTTTTAAACGAAAATTCCTGGTTTTTTCTTCCAGCGAGAGGCTAATGTGAGGTCGTCACGGTTTCTCAAATAACACAGATAGTTTCCGAATATATGAAAAAAAAACTAAAGCCCGAAATTAGACAATAATAATAATGATATTAAATGTTAGGGGCAGGGCGGGTTTCTTAAATAACCTCGAGAGGCATCTCTTGCACGCGATGAGCAACTGTTTTTTTATTTCCAACGTCTACACGGTAGAATTACCATTTCATTTTTACTACCTACCGCGTTTACACGCTCTGTAACAACCGCTCATGAATCAAACTAGAAAAAATCGAATTAAATTCGAGCAGTAAGCGAGATCGGAGATCGGCGCCTTTGGGATAGTATATTTGCGCGTAAAATAACCACTCATTAAACGTTATATAACCGGACCATTTGGAAAGTTACTACAATTTAATATTGTACGAGCCGTATTAATTTATTGCACTTATACGTGAGAGGGCAATAAATCGAAGCCGCCCATTAAATCAGGACCGTATTTCGCGGAGGTATTTGCGTATTTACGACCGCCCGACACTACATTAGGGGCGTTAAGACAATAACAATATTTCATCGAACGGGCGCGTAATGAACGAGCGAATTTGAGTGATATATATCCGCTCTTTCCCTTTATGCTGATGAATTCAAATTGGCTCGTACGAATGAGAAATATAAAGTTAGCGGTACCGTCGACGCGGCTTTGTTTTTCGAAAGGAGCAGTTACAAAATAACCGGTTATTAAATAACGTTTTGCCATTTTATTTAATGGAACTGTCCAAAATGCGAATTCTATATGCAGGCTCATTTTTTGGGAAGTTATTGGGAAATGAAAAGTTACAAAATAACCGGTTATTTAATAACGTTTCTCAATTTTATTTGATTTATCGAACATGAATTATTAATAATTCTATATAGATTTAGGTTTATTTATTTAGATTTAAGCAAACATATTTTAAGATGTAAAAAAGAGAAACTAATTAAATTACACAGTTAATTAAATAGGTAAAAAATCTCAACGAAATGACCGCTTCGTGGGTGACCGTGAAGACCATCTGAAGAGGTCTTCGACTGTTAAAAAATATCTGAAATACCGTATAAATACACGAAAAAAAATGAATAATAAGGTATACCCGAGTAACGTGTGCGGCATTCGTATTTAATAAACTTGATGTTTAGCTGTAATGCAGTCGACCAAAATAATGATATCGAGTAAAAAACTAATAATCTACAGTAGGTACTTTATACAATACCACTTAAGAATGTATTGAGGTATACCTAGATATGTGAGATATTCGTTTTTACTTAAAGATTGTTAAAATTGAATTTAGAGTATATATACCCCAATAACTTGTAATTGGAAAGGTTAAATCGTGAGAATAAAGTGTACTAATAATTCTCTAATAAATAAATACTAATATTAACATGCTTGTAAGTCATTTAACCCTGTAAATAAAACATAGCGATTCCTCAAATTGCTGACGTTTATTCTGTCAGTCCCAGTACCACCTCGATGAATATCCTACAGGCAGAGCATATTTTTAACGAATATATCGCATATAAATTAGAGACTATTCGTCGGGGCGACTGTACCGCCGGCGGCGCGCCGAGTAAAACAGTGGCAGCTACTTGTGTTCTAACTAATATGAAACAGTGAGCAAGGACTGTGACAAATTCCTGGCACGGAACGCATAAATATCACACGCTGGACAGACGATACGCCGGAGATAAAGCACACGGAGGCGCCGCAGGTGGCGAAATTCTTAAACGCGTCCCAGTCGAACGAGCGGTACTGCTCCGACTCGCGTCTTATTACTCGGTTTGTGGGTAATTTATAGTACTATAACTTACTTATGTACTAATCACGTACCCTTAACTTTACCCTTTAACTGTTCTTCTTGTAGTACTTTTTCCCATTTTTTTCTAACAAAGCTTCTTATCCATTATCAACTGTTCTAATTTCCAAAGACTGGAATGAGTTATGATATTTACTGCATATCGTATCATTGTCTTATATCACAATTTGTACAATTAGCGATCTAATGGTCCATAATCCATGCAAAAAATGAATCAATTTACAACGCAACGCAATCTCTTTCATAAGCTTTAATCCAATTTCGAAAATTACCGTTTCATTTGTTTCTGCTTGTCATTAATAATTAGGAGATCTAATTAAGCGATAAACACGTTCAGATAAGATTGACCAAAAAAATATCGAAGATCAGAGCTCGCCTAATAAATATACTCTCGGCCCTCGAAATGCATTTAGAGCGTTTAGCGTTTAAGTCGTTTTTTTTTTCACGCGCTCTCATGCCCGGCGAAATTGTTTTCAAAATCGTGATCGTTTCGATCGGCCATCTAACACGCCAGCGGCGTCCCAATTCACACCATACTAACCCCCCTAACGAGCCCTATTTCTAGCCAAGTGATCTAATGATAGATGGTCATTTGGATAAAGAATTGAACAGTTGGTTCTTCTTCTTATGGTAATAAGCATAATGGTAACTATTTGCAGAGTAGGTTTTGTTATAAAGAGTTGTTGTTGTTGTAGGATTCAGAAACATTCGAAGCTTTTGAGGATCTGGAAACTGATGGAGCATCCAATTCATAACTAAAACCTTAGTGGTTTAGATGAGCTTCAAATCGTGAAGGTATTAATTCTACCCGGAAAGTTTATACATACTGAATTATATAGATAGCATAGGACCTGGGAGATTATTCTTAGAAGTATCTTGGTGAAATGACTACATGGTCCTCTACAAGAAAATTGTACCAAATCTGTAAGACCTTGAATCAGGATTCTTCCTGAATGGGGATTTTCTAAAGAAGTTTGGTGTCTTCAAAACTTCAACCATTTGCAAAAAAACTGTACCACACCTTAAAGACCATCTTTAATCAGGGTACTACTTTGGAATTCGATCACTTTAGAAGCCTAGTGTGTTCAACACACACACACCATCTTCGGCAAAAAGATCTCCAAGACCCAGGAAATGTTTCATAGATATTGTAAAGGAAGACAAATGCGCCACTGCAATGGACTTGGCTGATGGGTGCATAAGGAAAGAAGGTATACACGGGTCTTTGGCGCGAAGCGAAGGAGTGTGAAGTTGCTCAGGTTGGTATATTCTTTGTCGGCAACGTCATTAGAGTGTGACTCAGCAACCGTGCCAGTCGAGAATATACGTGTCAAACCGTCGAAACGTTTGATGGCTGCTAGATTAATGTTTCTCGAATATTAGTCGTTTCTGGCCTTCGCGCCGATCGGCATGCCGGCCATACATGATGTTGTGTACGGGGCTATCGCACGGTGACGGAGCGGATTTTTTTTCCTATCTGGTAGGCTGGGAAGAATTCGAGATGGCAGGCCTCGAATTAACGAACGTAATTATCGACGTCATGCGAGAATATAAATCGAATAATTAAAGGCGGACTGATGGAATTAGCGCGGATTCAATAGATGTAAACATTACGGAAAATATGCTGGTTTATAAACATTAAATGCGATGAGAAAGTGGATCAAAAATTGGATATGTGATACTAACTACTGTGTTGTAAAGTTTACATGTTGCATATTTAAAAAATTAACTATAGAGAATAGTCGAATGGAAAAGTATTGTATAAATTTGAAAGGGGTAAAAGAAGACAAATGGAAAGACGTCCGAAGAGAAAATATCGCCTCCATCTATTACCCAAATCAACGTTGACAAATAAAAAGACAAACCGAAGTCGCCCAAAACAAAACCGAGCGCGGAGCGCAATATAATCAAAACCGTCCCCCCGGAATAAGAAATACGGGAGTATAAGACATTTTTCGGTCTGTCTGTGACAGCCGCCCCCTTTCCGAAAATGCAGCCTCCTCTCCCGCCGCCCGCCCTGCCCTTGCGAAAAGCGCTGAATGCCGGCGAAAGGGTTGCGAATAATCCCCCGCGACCTCCGACCGCCCCCCCGAAAACAAAACTCAAGATGGAATCGTCAATTGTAAGATGCAAATGACCTGTGAAAGACGCGCCAACGGCGGCGTTATCTCGCCTATTCGCCGTGATTAATATGGCTTAATTACTCATCGGTAATTATTAAGAGAGTACCGAAATCCGTCCGGACACTTTCGGGTATAATTATAATCAATCATGGAAAAGGGGGCATTTCGGTATATAGTGGGAATTAAATCTTTTTGGGATGATGCTGATGGTTTTACCATTAGCACATTTTTGCTCCTAAATATCCTCTACTTCTTAGATTTTATTTCACTAGAATTTCCTCACTAAATTTGCATCATTTTTTACATCAAAAATGCATCTATTCCAGCATTATTGTGACCATACTATATGCAATAAAACAACGATGCAAATAACAGATTTAATAATCAATTATTAAATCGAATTCTTTGCGATGGAAAAAATTGTTAATTCCCGCATCGAAAAAAATCTGATTGATGATTCGAAAATTCCACGATAGACGTACGAAAAAAAAACGTACAATTCGGATCCAATTTTCCATAATTTTTCGGCAGGTTAACGCGTTAATAACGAATCACGACGGCGTTTTTAATAATGACCCCGGGACGCCGTACGCCCTGTAGAGAGTGCTTGAAAGAGTACCGGCGATCGCACACCGGCGTATC